TTCAGGAGGTTCTATGACCACTTTCCAGTTACAACATCTAAGCTATGGTAGTACAAAAATCACGCCAATCCGTCACTCTGTTTCGACGTTAAAGAAGAACAAACAAATGAACACACTTTCACATTTAGAATACTAGTATGGATATAGTATAGTAGCTATTCCAAATACACCATACATATTTATATTTTACACAAATGGAGTGTCTCCTGTTAATATCAACCAGTAAAAACTTGTAAAAATAGCCACATTTTTCATATTTTATCTAAATATCTCTTGGCACATGCATCATTCACAAATGACTGGCCAAATTTTAATATTTTTATTACTTTTTAAAGGTGTTTTGAACACAAAGCCAAAAGTGACTATTATTCCCGTATACCGTTTTTTTTTGTTTCTAAGGAAATCTCTGAGCTTTTAGCAAATATGATTTTTTTAATTTTTTAATAATCTAGGACAGCGGTTCCCTAATTCTGGTCCATGGAACTCTAGATACAGATATCTAGATACAGAGTTCCGTCTGAGAGTTAAATAAAACGTTGTCACTTGTCAGACATGAAGCCTAATTTTAGTGCTATTATAAATAAATATGAGAAAAAATTTCTTTCATCATATTAAATAGTTTATGTTATAGTTTTGGTACAATAAATACTATTGTAAATATTAATATTTTTTATTTACGTCTTGTTCTTTCAAGTCAAACAAGAAAATATTCTAACTACAACACAATCAGTTTAGTTATTATCAAAATGGGGATCCGTTGAAAAAATATTTTTTAATGGACGCTGAATGATCATAAAATCGAGGGACCCTAATTGACCCTAATTGATCATAAAATATATAGATCATAAGATCAATTAGGGTTCCGCGGCCAAAAAAATAGGGAACCCCTGATCTAGGATATCATTCCTTTTCAATCTTTTTCTGTTACTTCTTTTTGTTAAAGTATATATACAGATGATGCTCTGATAAACTATAGGAAGTATATAAGGGTTGTCAATGTAAATATAATAAAATATATTACACAAATGTAATAAATATACTTTGTTAAAACCACCTTGTTGATATTCAACTTCAAAGCACAGATGGATTTGTTCATATGATATAAATAAGGCTTCGATCAACAGTAGTATTGTTGATCAAAGAAATAAGGCCTTGTTTGTATAAGTGCATTGAAGTATTCATCTACTTCAGAATATATTTGACTCTTGCGCTGTAATAAGTGCTTGTTGTTTTAGAGTAACATATTTATTTTATATATAAATTTAATGAACAATGAATTATTTATATATATATAATATTTATATGCATATAATGCAATGAGAAAAAAAATAGTACTATAATAATTCATTGTTCAAAAAATTTAAATTCATAATCTAAGTAATACAATATACATTAAATAATCTTAAAATTTTAAGTTTAAAAATGTACAATTGTTATTTATCAATAGATAATAATATGTCTTTATAAAAATATTTTGTTTAAAAAAATATTGTTTAGTAAAACTCCAATTTCTTATTTTTATTTTAAAAGATAAGGTTTCAGAAGCATTTATATTATTTTATTAACGCCTCCAGGTAAATTTCTAAGAAATTAATTAAATCTCTAAGAAATCTATTGTTGGATTGGAGGTATTAATAAATGATTCGTCCCTGACATTGTTTGAGCTTGTGATAAAAAGTTAATATTATTTAAGCTAATTATGAAACATACTTATAAACATTGTAAATATTTTACTCATTACTTAATGTTGTCATTTGGTCGAATGTTCCCAAAATAGAGATAGAAATGTTCTAAGTTTATCATTTTAAGTCAGAATCCACTCCTCTAAAATATAAACAAAGAGAGTATGATGACATGAAGTTGAAACAATAAACTATTATGATAACAAACTTAACTTCTTTCTTTTTATAAGTCAAAAAAGAATGCTTATAGGAATATTTTAAAATAATTAACAGCCAGCCTTTTTTATAATATTCTTAAGTTATTGAATTTGTTGAATACGTGATAAAGCGAAATATAAAGTATACAAATATAATAATATTATTTATACAATCTTCCTCACATTTATGAAGGCTTTGTAATATAAATAGTGAATAAATCACATGTGTTTTGTAAAACAATACCGATGTACCAAGTCATTACTAAGGCATTATCAATAATTATGTATTATGTATAATATAACATATGTTCTCGCAATCAGCGTAGTAATAAAATATCGTCATGATATATATAATTTTATACACTATTCACTTACCGATATGTATAGTAAATAATAATAAAATGGCACTTTCTTTTAAATCACTCGCACATTTCACATACCACTTTTTAACGCTATAAATTTGGGAAATTCCACATCAAAATACAGTCCATTGTTTCCCGACGTTTAACAATGAATGGATGTGTGGTTTGGGTAGTGATATGAATCAGTTTAGTGTTGTGTATTATAAGGGGAATCGATTTTAGTCGAATGAGTGTTTACATCATATCGATTTTCCTCGAAATATATTCTCTAGATCAGCTATACTCAACTTGCGGCCCGCGGGCCGCATGCGGCAGCATCAAAAATCGCATTATAACATATCTTTGTTAAAAAAGTAACTACAACGTTAACTTGGAAAAACGTTTTCATTATGACCTAAATAATTTTTGCTTACGGCCCTCGACACCATGACTGAAACGTGTTTGTGGCTCCTATAAAAATAGTTTGAGTATGGCTGCTCTAGATTATTGACATTGTATATCAAACAGATCTTATCTAATATTTCATGTACGCTTTAAAAGTAATTTAAATATAATGGGAATAATAAACTAAGAGAAATAAAAATATTTAAATAAAAAAAATTAAATTTGTTTTGTATGTAACTATTTCAATAAAACTATCTTTTCGGATTTTTTATAGCAAAGCTAAAGCTTTCGAAAAGTCGGCAACTGAAAATCAAAATAAATCTACGAAAATATCCGAAAGCATAATTTTGCTGAAAATATAAAATATTCGCTTAAATTTAACAAAGTATTATGTAAATACTAAATAGTTTGATTTGTTGCAATGAATTTACATACCATTAAAGATTTTTTTGTAAAATTGTTTTATTTTATTAACGAAATTGTAAAATTTAGTTATTAAACAACATTTAGTATTGTGTTTCTCAAGAAAGTTGTTACGTTGTTACTATTCAAGTTATAATAAAATCATTATTCTTGGCTTGTTTGAAAACATACTTATCACTAATCACATAGTAATTATTTAATTATCACAATTATCAAATTATCAAGTCAAATCGATTAGGAAAAAAAGCTAATAGCTTATTATTCGAATAATAATAATTGCAATTGCCTTTTACAATGACAGCACAGTGATTACCCATTGGTTCTTTAAATGCCACAAACGTCAAAATTATTCATTCACATAAATAATGCCGTCTCTACACTTTAGTTGTTATATTTTAATTGGGGAAGATTTCTCGAAAGGAGGGCACTACACGTATGGCCTATTTACATTCAGTCTGAAGTTAAGCAATTTATTGTGATATCTCTTTTATACCTGGTTTTTTGACATACATTTCTTTGCATCCTGGTACTGCACAATTTGTCATTTTAATTAAATTTTGATTATGATAAAAAAATCCCATCCAGGCTGTAGAGCTTTACAATATACTGAGGGCTATAGTGATCGCGACTTCTGACCAGATAAAATGGCAAAATTCTTCCCCATTTTAATTCAAATAATTTATAGATATTAATAATTTAAAAATAATGATTATGTGATCTATATTTAGAGTTCAAATTAGACAGTGAATTTACCTGCAAGTCGCAGGACTAACTTGTGATCGATAGCCAGTGGTCACTATTTAGTATTTAGGTATACATACACATAGGTATATATACACATTCTTTGCTTAATAGTTTAAGATCTTAACTGAAAGAAAAAGGAAACACTGTAGATAAGGATTAACAAAACATAATATTATAGAACCACTAGCGACGCCCGAGTGCGGCTCTATAGTTACGATTTAAAGTTTAGTATAGATTTCTCAGAGATGAGATATTTTTCCGCAGTAAAAAGTATTATTATTATGTTGACTTGATAACCGGCTATCATCATACCAAATTTCATCAAAATCCCTCCAGTGGTTTTTTTGTGATGCGGTAACAGACAGCCAAAAATTCTAAAAAAAACTATAGATTGATTGAGTTGAATTATAGATAATAATGTTTATTTCAATAAGATTTTCCAAAAAATATTTCATGTGCAGATTCGGCTAATAGTTACAATTTTATTATATGTATAGATTTGTTATGCACTTTAACACTAAAAATGTATTTGTTGTTTAAATCTTTGGATCCTCCTATATACATAAATGGATTTAGTACACAAATAGGATATGACCTGGAATAAAAGATAGGCTACTATTAGGCAGCTAGGGACGCACTAAAAGGGTAATACGAGAGTTTATGCATAAAGAAAGCTAGAATAAAATATTTTATACTACCCGCAAATTTTAGTTTTATATAAGCATTTACTGCTAGCCTTGCCTGCTAGCTGTTTTAAGACGTCTGTTTTGAATTAGGTAAATGTCTCATTTCGTAGCGCATTTTGTGAAGAACGCTAATTATCTAACATCACGCGACGGCATTTTGGAGCAACAATCAATTCTACATAAACTACTTAATTGCCTAATGTACCTAAAACATTACACTTCTTTTATAGCAATTTGGTTAAATTAAGTTTTTAGCGCACTATTTTACGACCTTGTCTTTTTACTAAAAAACTAAACTTTGATAAACGTACAAAGGAAAAGTGTAGGTTTTTTTAAACTAGTACGAAATTTTATACTATGTTGTTCTACACATCGCTCGTGTTAATTTGTCTTTTCTACAAATCTATTGAAATAGGTGAACTTAATTTAAATTTGCGCAGTAAATTCTTAGCACGGAGACAGGAAAAACATAAAGACGAGTTAAGATTGAAACTGTTAGATCAAATTACTAATAAAAGCATTATGCTGGATGGCGTATTACACGAACAAAATGATGAAAATATATTTGATATGGCGTTTCAACAAATTTTAGTAATGTATGACGCGAAGTATGAGTACAAGAGAGATTTTTTTTGGAGGACTTGGAGGAAAGTTCAAAACAATGATAATGAAGAGGAGATTCTTCATTATAAATGCTCGAATATTTTAAAAGCTAACTGCACTCGGTGTAACGGTGGCTTTTGGGTTTGTTCTTTTTCTTTTGATTAATACTCTTTTAATACCTTAGTACTATATAAAAGCGTATAAAACTTTGTATGGATGTTTGTTACTTAATCACGCCTGAACGGCTGAACGGATCTGGATGAAATTTGGCAAAAAGATAGATTATAGTCTGAAATAGCTCATAGGTTACTCTTTAAACGAGATATATACGGGTCCCGTGGCATAGATTTGTTTTTGTTTTTCACTCGGGACGAGATCGAGAGGGACGAAATCGAGCGAAGAGAGGGTAAGCCGCTAGTTTTAAGTATATAAAGTCTTGAAAGTTGATTTTAGTCTAATTTTAAACTTCGTATAATTTAAACATTTATTTATTTATATTATATTTCGCAGTAGGTAAGTAGTACGCTGTACGTCTCCGACTGCATACTTATATATTTTCATCCTAATTGAGTTGAAAATACTTCCTTTAGTTTAGACTTATTTAACTCAGTGTTTGAATATTTTTAAGACTTTTTTTTTTTTTAGGTATGTTATATTTTCATTAAAAAAAAAGAATATTAAAATGTATATTTTTTTTGTAGATAATCGAAGAAAAATCACCGCCTTGTCCATATGAAATATTTTCACTGAAATCTGATGTGGACCTTTGCGTATTTAACTACAATATTCCAAATCCCAAAGACAGTGAATGTCCGTCTATCATAACAATGAAGATGCTAAGAAAGGCTTGCGATCATTTAACAGAAACAAAATGGCGAATAACAAAAAAATATAACGTCCCGGGAAATAATACAGCTCTAATATGTCAAGGACGTGATTTCTGTGAAGTTACTACTTTATACAACGTAAGCTTTTTTATTACCTACTTCATCGATCAAAATAGTACTAGATACACAATCCCATGCAAAAGTTCTCTTAAAACTGTCACCAATTTTGTTCGGGTAATTGTTCTAGTTGAAATAAATAGGTATACAACAATGTAAATTGTTATCTTCACAAAAATATTATTTATATAAATATAAAAAAGTAATGCTTCTTTTGTCACGTTTGGAAAAAATTACGACAGTAAAACTTTTGACAGCCAAAAAGCGACACAAAAGTATAATAATATTCGCTAATTTTTATATTAGACCAATAAATCCATAGATAATAAAGTTTTTCGAAGCCAAGAGAAACACTTCGGAGGGCGGTGTACCATGCGGGTTGCTCCTGGTACTTCTCTGACAGCAGAGTGGACCGTGGGAGCGAGCAACCTCTTAGATAAGATACTATCTTGTTTAAGTTCCCAATCACAGTCCTCTGAAGACAATAGATATCGCTAACAGAAAACTAATATTGCGCTAATTTCTGGAACTACTCGTATCAGATTTTTTTTATCTTCTTTGCATTTTATTGCCTACTACGAGTAGCTTTTCTGCCGACTACGCTCGCAGTCTATTTGTGTTTAACTGTTTCGATCCGAAAAGTGAGAAGTGACAAATACATTCACAAATCTTTTTTATTCGTGTATGTATGTATATTAGCCCTTTTTTGACGTCCCAGGGTTAGGTTTCCCTTTAATAAGAGCTGGACCAGGCCATAGGCCACCACCCTGGCTACGAAAATTCAATAGGTTTTCTGAGACATGCAGGTTTCGTCACGATGTTCTCCTTCAACTTAAGACAAGTGGTAATTATATTGAAAATGTTTCGCACATGGTAGTATCGGAGATGTGAGACCCGGGATTTGAAGTTTGAACCCGCTTCACTCGGTAACCCAAGCAAGCGCGTTACCACTGGGCTACCACTGATTTTACATTTATAATATAAACTAATTGAATTATTTCTTTGCAGATACTTCACAATTCCATTGTATTTAGACTAATAAATTCTACCAATCACATATTTCATTCCAAAATAATGAAAAGTGGCAAGGAGAACTATTTTTGCACAAACGATTGCGGAAAAATGGACCTTTCGACCAAAAAAGTTATTAAAAACGATAAACCTCTCAGTTTAGATCTACTAAATAATACAAAAAAGAAACGAGAGGATAAAAAATATGGTCAATTATCAGAATTAAATGGATTATTAGAAAACGGGCTGCACTATGCAGTTAATGGTGTTGAAATGGCAAAAAATAATATAAAAAATGTTCATATTTTCGATGATAATCGATTAAAAAAATCGGTATCGAGTTGTAAAAAGTTACAAGAGAAATATTTATTGGAGGAAAGTGGAAGCAATGATTACGAATACTACTAAAAAGGCCAAAGTAAAAGTGGATTAAGGAAATATTTTTTTTTGTGATGTAACAAATGTACGGTTTTCGGTATTTCCATTTACTTGTGCTATATGACATTGTTTTTTGCCAAATTACACGATTCTACGTCAAAGGGAAGTAGGTACCCTAAAGGTTTTGAACTTTTGATTCCCTTGAGAGTGTAACGTAAGCGACATACACGGCCGTATCTTTTGATTGCGTTGACTTCTGAGAAGATTGATATTTTCACAGATCCTAGGGCTGTAACAAAATTACAGACCTGAATATTTGATATTAATTTCAACTTGATACTTCTACGGGTTTCTGAGAAAAAGTGTCTTGACAGACTATAAGTTCCTTTTTTTCCTCCTGAGGTAGGGAGCTCTAAAAAATGTTAACATGCAATAATATTATAATAGTCCAGAATCCAGAATAATTTGATCTCGGCGGTCACCGAAATAAAAAAATTGGGATGAAAATTTAATATCGATTAAATAAAATTTAAATAGCAAACCTGTTTCTCATTAATAAAAAAAAATAGAAAAAAAACTAAAAATATACACTACAGTAGTAACATTAGGTTTTCTTTATATTTAAATTTGTATCACTTTGGTAATTACAAATAAATAAATTTTTGATGCAAGAACTTATTTGAGATAATCTAAAAATTCCTTACTCTTCTAATTTCCTTTCATAATATTTTTTCTTTATTTTAGACTCATACTTTTTCTCGTTTAGTATAAATTTCTCAGAGAAGAGATATTTTCCCGCAGTAAAAAGTATCCTATATGTTGACTCGGATAACCAGCTATCATCGTACTAAATTTTACCAAATATTTTCAGTGGTTTTCCCGTGATGCGTTCCCAGACAGACAGACAAAAATTGTAAAAACTGTAGATTCAGCCTCTTTATCGATAATAAAGACTATTTCAATAAGTTATTTTCCAAAAAATAATCAATGTACAGATTCGATTCAGTTGGAATTTTATTATATGCATAGATAGATAGCGGACGAGGCGAGAGTAAGTTGCTATTATTATTAATAAAACAAGTTTCGTTAGTTTCAAATTTATTATCATCGTAAAAAGATAATAAACACCTTCATCTTAACCTATATAATACTAAACCTAACACTATTTTACAAGGCACTTTGGAGAAAGACACTGCGGTACATTTTACACTTAGATACAATATTTAAGCAAGTTTGTAATTATATAAACATTAAGTTCTTATTTAAATAATTTTCCAAGACTATTTGTATTTTTAAGCAATGGTATATATAGTGGGGTTGGGGGCCGGTCCGCCTACAATGTCACCAGATTGGGGATGCAACCCATCTATTATTTATATATTTTTTTTACTAAAAAAAAAATAAAAAAAATATTTTCTTGCCTTGTGGTAGCAATTAATTTTCTTTTTATAGAAAAATGGGAGAAATGAGCGAAAGATTCACCTGAAGCAGGATTACCACGTTTTGGGGTAAAAAACCGGGACAAAATAGATATGCCATCGGGACGCGGACAATACCGTCAAAATCGGGACTGTCCCGGCAAAATCGGGACAACTCTGACCTGATGGTTGGAGGCTATCGTCGCTTATAGACGCACCTTCCTTGCCTTCAACATAAGAGTTCATCATTGTTAACCCATATAAATTCTCTTCGAAGAAAAGTCATTTTTATATTTAATTTATATACCTAAATAATTTTATTACAAAAAATTTTACTCATGATTAGGTAATCGAACTCAAAAGCTAATCTGCAATAGCCAATCCTATTATATTTATAAAATAAAAATTACATAATTTAGTTTTTTATCGTAAGTTCAGTCTCAAAAATATATATATTCTGATTATTTTTTAATATTAACTGGAAGACTAGATTGTATTTTACCGAATATTTCCTATACATATGGATAGTTCCAAGGTAAGGCCAATTTAAATAAATAGTTTGGTACATTAACACACAGCGCCACCTAGTTCCATGGTAAGGCCAAGGCCTGTGTTAATACAATTATCCTACTCCTGATACTCTATATCCATCTCACTCTCTCGTAGGTTACTTTTCTGCAGTTTCACTTTTACCGTGTGTAAATTGCACACACACGCACTTTATATACAGTTTTATCAAAGAATGTCTTAAAAATATTGTGGAAATTAAAAAAAATGTTATATTCCAAAAAAAAATATTATGTCTATCGCTATTAAGGCAAGTAAAATTAAGTGAACACATGATTTTTTTAAACATTTACCTAATTAAAAAAGTCAATTTTCAATACAATTTCAAATTCAATTGGTCGACGGACAACCAAAGTCAATACTACTTAATTTTAACACACATATTATAAGGCACGAATAATGCTTCATATGTCATAAGTCTAAAATATACAAAAACACTGTTATAGCATTAGATTTATAACCATTTAACACGTAATAAAAACTAACATCTTAACTTTTACAAATCAACTTGCTTATATTTTAGATGTTGGAAGACATTTTAATCATTATTTTAAAAAAAATGATATAAATGACTGTGAAAGTCCCTTAAGTCATATAAATTTGATCTTTGTTAACCATTATCTAAAAATAGTGAAAAGGCACGACAGAGACAAAACGAATGTGCGGCCAGAAGTCTTCTGTATTAATTGAAATACGATTAATGAAGATACATAATATGTATAACCATTTTACATTCCATTATAATATTAAAATTTCCAATAATATTATAATATTTTCACATTCAATTTATAAATTCAAATAGGAATAAAAAACAGATATTGGTTGCATGTTCGCTTTCTCTCTTTGTCAATTTCATGACAGTATTGCTCAGTCCATTCTCTATGGTTATAGTTTTACACTCAACAAGATTCTGAGATACAATGATGAATATAACACCACCTTTAAAAATGTATATAAATTGTTAGGAACCATTTATAAGATGCCACATATTTTATTACTCTCTCTATTATAGCAATACGTCACAATTACTGATCTCTTTCCTAAGAAATATAAAAAACCAACAGATTTAAAAAAAAAAGATTAAAAAAAATTTACACAATTGGCCTTCAAAACTAGAGTTGAAGATGAAACTTTTTATATCATTTGAAATAATAAATATGGATTAAAAGTACTAAATAACTTATACCTTCATACTAATAATTGCAAACAAAAAAGATAATCCTATATGCTATCGACAGGACTATGTCAAAGAAAATATAATAATCCTTCTCCATTCTACACGACCTTGGCAAAGTAAATTGTGCCCAAATGGCAATCCTATAGGCCACAGAACAAAGAATATTGAACATTGAATAATCTTTTTCATGCATGCATTTACAGTTTGTATTTATAAGTATACAGTCATGAGTCAACTATTAATATATATTTTGTGGAAGCACATATGTTAAATTATAAAATTACTTGTTTGAACAAAAACATTCTCAACAAATTTTCACAAGCAATCTTTTTTAACTTGTTGCTTTTTTTTAGAACCACATTTGTGATGAAAAATCTGGTAATGCCTTTTAAAAGTCTTAGTACAGTTAGAACATGCATACTTTCTAACATTGAGATGTCGCTCCCTTATATGACACTTTAGACTCTTCTTCATCATTTCCTTCTTACAGTAATCGCATATAGCTTTAGAATACTGGTTGGTAAATTGGTTTCCATACACATATTTTACCGTTTTTATCTCTGCTTTAATTTCAGTAATATTTTCAACTTTATTACATTTTTTAATTGTTATAACATTATTATTTAATTTTGTCATTTCCACACAAGCATCTGCATGCACAGCTTTTTCAACCCACTTTTCATTTACTAATTTACTAAAATGTGACGGCTCGCTGTCGAGTTCTGTGTTAAAATGAAGTTTTCGTATATGCTCAAGGAGAATTCGTTTCTCGCAAAAAGAAATTCCACAGGGCTGGCACGGAAATTTGACTTTAGAATTTATGGAATCATCGTGGACATTTTTCAAGTGAGCGATCAAATTATATTTATTAAGGAATCCACGTTCACAGTAGTCACACACGAACTGTTTTTTATTTTGCTGTCCAGAGTGACTTTTCACATGCCTCAAATATAAATCATACCTAAAATATTCCTTAGAACAAAATTCACATTTGAATCTGGCTTTAACAGCGTTATGTTTGAATAAATGAGACTTAAACTTATAAGAACTACCAATCACAATTTTGTTGCAATGTTTACAGAAATTTCTTTTCTTTGTATCAGCAGTCTTTTTCGTCATCGTGAAAATAAAAGTTAGCAATGATTAAATTAGACTATAATTCACAAAATAAACTTAACATAATGAAATAAAAGTCATTTTAAATCATAAACTCAATACTAAATAACCATGCAAAAGAAAAGTTTGACACTAAAAATTAACAAATGACGTCTTACGTCAAATGTCAAAAACATGATGTTTTTTTTAATTGTCTGACCACAGATTCAGTAAGCTGAGCACATTACCCATTTCAAAAAGAAGAGGTTCTAAATGAGGATAAATGTTTTTTTTGTGAGCATGTTATAGTATATATTTAGATAATGTAAAATGTTTCTATTGATTCTTTTTTTCATATTTATACATCAAGGCCTCAGTGGTGTAGTGGCTAGCAAGTACGGCTGCACACCCGGAGGTCCTGGGTTTGAGTCCCGGGTCGGGCCAAGTTTAGTTATTGAGTCTTTCTGTATAGTAAGCCTCAGTAACAGCCCGAAGTTGGGAAGTTGGCGGTATTTCACCCCCGTGCCTCGGAGAGCACGTAAAGCCGTCGGTCCTGCGCCTTAACTCTCACTGGTCGTGTCGAGTGGTCGTCCCACCAGAATATGAGAGTGACAGGAATAGAGAGTGCACCTGTGTCTGCGCGTACACTTGTGCACTATAATATCTCCTGCGTAGTTGGCTAGTCTCAATGAGATTGGCCGCCGGAGCCGGAATCGGTCGGGAGAACATCATCATCATCAAGGTGTCCCGATAAATTTAAAATTCCGCCATGAGTGGGGACGGCGATTCTGAAATCGTATGCCGTAAATCGAGAAACGCCCATTGTGTATTCCTTATTGTTTTTGAAAAACTGTCTTATAAAGTAGGTATTTTTATGAGTGCGGCGCGGACCAAATGGCATGGTGGGGCCGCTCGTCAAGGCCTCGAACCGAAAGGTTCGGCCAAAGACGTTGCGGCCACAGGTGGTGGGCTGACGGTTGGCCTACCGACGCAAATCTTCACCCAAGCAACACTTTGATTGCCAATAGATGTCGAAACCAGATAAATGTGAACAGTTCAAATCAATTTAAGATTAAACAATTAATTTGAATATTCAAAAATAACAACTGTTTGTTTATAAGTTTTCACTTCTGTCGGCAGCCCGCAGTCCTCATGACTGTTTTTTTTATGAAGTGGTCTTCTTCCTCATCCATAGCTACCAGAGTGTTGCTCTAATCCATTCTATCAGAGAATAAGCAGGTAACCCGCATGGTACACCTCCCGACGCCCACTGAGATAGGCCTTCTCCTAACTGTAATTCTTATATTCTCGCCAGGCTAGCTTCATGGACACTACAAACTCCATCACCGCGACAGGTGATGAGGAACGAACGTTCATGACATTCGGGGAAGAGTATAGCTATCCTTTATCCATTGTGTATTTTTATACTAAATATTAACTTTTCGCCGCGGCTTCGCTCGCGAGTCGCGTGGTATGTGGGACAGGGCCACAGGATCAAAGGTTGCCTATGTCCGTCGCCAATGCAATTTATGTCCTTGCCAAACCTTATTGAAATCTGTTCAGCGATTTAAGCGTGAAAAGTGTGAACGAAAATAATTATTTTCAAATTCATATTACTATGTAGTATAGATTTTATATATACTAAAAAGAAATTATCAGTTAAACTTGCCCAGCTGCATTGTAACCAACTTTGCTTTGTATGGGCTGGCACCGATTTCGAAAATATTTGATTAGGTATGTATTTAATAGGTAGGCTTTAATTACTTAGCCAAAGCACACCGACTTCGAAAATATTTAATTAGGTATGTATAGTAAATGAAAACTACCAATCAGTTATTTTTTACTTTTTAGTGCTTGTGTTTGAAGTCGGTTTTTATTTTTTTGTTAAAAAGTTTTTATTTTTCCCTTTTTAGTGTAGTAGTTTCACCTATCCACCTTCAGGCCTTACCATCAGATCAGGTCAACAATACCGAACCACTGTCAAGGGAAATAGAAATACTTGCAAAGTTTCAAGTCAATATGACAATTAGAAGTAGGTTAAATTCCTCAATAGCTATTTTTCCACCCTTAGGGGTGGTATTTTTTTTTGAAATTTAAATGGGACCAATATGGAAGTACATATACACTTTCAGACAACACAAAAATTGTCCAAATCGGTTAATAAATGACGGAGTTCTGAGGTAACAAACATAAAAAAAAATCATTCGAATTGAGAACCTCCTCCTTTTTGAAGTCGGTTGATAAATAAATAATAATAAAACGGTATGCCTCTAAAAAAATGTGTGTGTACTTAAAAGTTGTACTTCTTTGGCGTAACAGAACAGAAATAGCTAAAGATTTCATCCCGTATGTCACAACTGTCTGTTTGTGAAAGGAATGCAGCTAGCTTCGTCACGTCGGTTTTTGGCTGTCGGTGTGCGCGCGCATCGTAAAAATTTTACTCTCATATTTTTTCCCAAAAGAAGTAGTACTTCATAAACAAAACATGTAGGTATTTAGAGTTATAGTACATGATATAGGCTAAATAAAAATAATGATAAAAATATAATTATTTGACAGATTTTTTACTGCTGATCATTATACAAAAAAAAAAGATTTGAAGTCAAACTTTGAATATGTTTTTTTTTTGTTAAAGAATTGAATTTAAAATCATGTAAATAATGGAAGTTTACAAGATAAGCCATCAGGCTGTAATAAGATTTCGAGAATCATATTAGTGTACGAATTCCTTTCTACATACGTAAAAGTGTCGCGTCAGAAAATATGAAGCGCGGTTAATAGTTAATGAACTTGATCTATTTTTTTGGCATTTATAATTTTTGTTACGTATCACAAAACTCTCTCTATTATTTCTTTTGACACGTTACCTATTGTAAGGTTGCATTTTTATATATTGAGTGTTTTAATAGAAAAAAATATATTTCATTAATTTGTAATGATAGGAATGTGTTTAGAAAAACATAAAAACGGGCGCGGATATTCATTTGTTTTCCCGCGCTCTTGCACAGAGATGTCGGTACCACCCTGTAGCGACTATTATAAAATATGTAACTCACTGACGATTATAAAAGTACTGAATATAAGAATATAAGCAAGGAATATCTCGAAGTTTTATTAGGGACCCAATACTATTATTATACGTAGCGACATCAATTAACAAACATACTAAGTGATTCTTCTTATATTATTGTAAACTAGCGACTCACCTTCGCTTCGCTCGGGTTCGTCCCTAGGTTGATTCCTCATACAAACTTTCATCCCCATTTTCACTCCTTTTAGTGATGATTTCAGGGATAATAACTATACTATGTCCTTCCCAGGGTCTCAAACTATCCCCACCAACGTGCGTTCACATTGTCGTGGTGGGGGGGCTAAGTAGTGCCCGGCAAAACAACCGGGCGCGAAGCCAAGAAACGCACAGGGAGGTGGCCCACTTCGGTGGGTGGTGGGAGGTGGCCCTCTTCGGAGGGCAGTGTACCATGCGGGTTGCTCCTGGTACTTCTCTGATAGCGGAGTAGACTGTGGAGCAACCCCGTGGTTGTTGTGGTCTGCTTCGGCAGACCTGCCGTCGGGGCGTCGTAGTTGAATACGTAAGCGATCCTGCGACGCCCCATTAAGACGGGGGAAGGTTTTGTTGGGTTTAAGTGGGTAGTACTGGCTTTGCCGGTGAGTCCCACACCTCGTGCGTAAATGCATTTCCCAACGTTAAAAAAAAGGGTCTCAAACTATCTTCTTACCGAATTTCATCTAAATCGGTTCACTGAATTGGCTCCGAAACTACTGAGTTTAGGAGCCTATTCGGTACAAACAAACAAAGAAAAAATCAAATCTTTCGTGTTTATAATATAAGTATAGATTATTTATTTATTCCAAAAAAAATCCTTTTGTTCGTAGTCAGCAAAACAAATTTTAGTCATAACGATTAAAGTCAATGCTACACGCTTCTCAGAAAATCTCCACAATACCTTTTACGTACGTTAGGAATTGTTATGGAAATTGTGTACTTTACGATAACTTCGAGAAATAATATATACCTACTAAAAGTATAATAATTTTAATTTATTTAAAAGTCTTTTGTATAAGTAATAATAGCAAACGCCAAGTGGAAATTCATCTATATCTTAATATATACAGATAAATAAAATTGAAGTGTCTGTGTGTAATGTAAAAATAACAGCTTTTTATTAAATGCATATCAAATTTATACTGTATTATAAGAAAAACACATTTTTTAACAATTTTGTCTGTCTGTTTATTCCGGCGTATTTCCGAAATGGATCTCTGATTTTGACGGGACTTTCGTTGGCAGATAGCTGATGTTATAAGGAGTAACTTAGGCTACTTTTATTTTAGAAAAAAAATTAGGGTTCCGCAAAAAAAAACGTCTATCTAGGGAGTAGGACGCACCCGAGCGAAACGAGTGTAAGTCACTAGTTATTAAAAAAAATCGAGGAAAACATAAACAAACAGGTTGTATGAATATAATTTACTTATCTATTTAAAAAAAACGAACTGTTTAATTTTTTTTTATTGATACGTGAACTAAAGCTCGTAAATAGTTACCTACAAACAAACAAAAAAAGAAAATCGGTGGACAGAGGAGAAAAAAGCAGTAAATTGTTATGTTTACATTATAAGAAGAAAAAAAAAACAAAAAAATATATTAAAAAATATTTTAACAAAAAGATATACCTATAGCGTAACGAACTCACACACAATCAATTGAAATTTGCTAAAATTTGTACCTACTGCAAATAAATCATATTTTATGTTAATAAGTGGAGCCATAGTACGACGTTCATTACTCACTTATCCTTGGTCATTCATATGAATTAGTATAAAAGAGAAGCATTTTAGGAAATAATTTAAAAGTTGAGTAAAATTTTCAAGATGAAGTCCGAAATTATTTTTCTTGCGTTTGCGGTAAGTTAAGCTTTGTTTATGGTCACTAATTATTTAAAGTTGGAATGTTACCACCATGGATGACAAATAAAACGGTTACCACTTTTATTTGTAATCCATGGTTACCACTAAGACAATATCCTAATCTACCTATACAGATAAATAAAATTGATGTGTCCGTTCGGATTTTTTCGCGAATTTATTTTGATTTTTGGTTCCCAAAAAGCAAAACAAATTCGCGAAAAAATCCGAAAAGATAGTTTCATTTAAAATGTCAAGTATTCGCGTAAATCTAAGAAAGTATTATTGATGTGTCCGTTTGTAATGTCAAAATAAAAACTTTTTACTAAATTTTCATATGAAAGTATTGTGTTGTATTCAGCCCTTTTTAACACTGCTGGGGGTGGGCTTTGAAAACTTTCTAGGTTCTCTCAGACATGCAGGTTCCCTCATGATGTTTTCGTTCACCATTAAAAAAAGTTATAATCATGTTAGAAGTGATTCGCACTTGAAAATATCAGAGGTGCGAGACCCGGGATTTGAACCGTTTCATTCGGTTTCCCAAGCGACCGCGTTACCACTGGGCTACCACTGCGCAGGATAAAAGTATATACGGCACTAATAAGAAAATAAAATCTGTTTTTAAAAATTCTGTCTGTCTGTTTGTTCCGGCTAATCTCCGAAACGGCTGGACCGATTTTGACGAGACTTTCACCAGCAGATAGCTGATGTTAAAAGAAATAACGTTGGCTACTTTTATTTTAGAAAAAGAATAAGTATTCTGCTCAAAATGAATCCGAGTTAAGTGAAGGTGCGTTGCTAGTTCGTTTAATAAAATAAACCAACTATGCGCAAATCAAGAATAAATTAAATAGAATATTTATTAAATGGTTTTTAGCGACTTATTATCGCTTCTCTTGGTGCTCTGGTTACGCGGATTTTTGCACAATTTCATGGGTTTTTCTTGCGTAGAATCCTAATTCTTCTTCTAAAATAAAAGAAACCTAACTCGGACTATCTGTTTACTAAATTACATCCATATCCTTCCAGCCGACTTCAACATGAAGAAGTAACAAACGTACACACTTACACACATTCAATCTTTCACATTAATAATAGTATTATCAATACAATTATCTTTTTTTCTGCAGGTTATGTTCGCCATTTTCTTGACGAGCCCTTGCACTGCTCAAGACAACATGATTAAACCAAGTATGTATAATATAGCTTTTACCCGTAGCATCACATACATAGGTTACTAGGTAATGTTTATATTAATCTTTGACGTCACGTTTAGCTGTTTGTAGTGACCCTACTTGCTATGCCAGCCGGTCGCGGGTTTGAGTCCCGCCGGGAGTATGTATTCATTTGTGTGGTGAGCACGAATGTTTGTATTCCAGTTATGGGTGCTTATATTTTTAATATCAAATATGTATATATTTAAAGTTATATATGTGTAGTGTATCAACTATCTGGTATCCATAACACAAACCTCGTAGCTTACCATGGAACTAGATGGTGCTGTGTGTTAATGTACCAACATATTTATTTATTTTCCGAAAGCAATTCTCTAATATATCATAAAAGTCATATTGAAACATATAATTAAACAGTCCAATTAAGCAAAGCGAGACAGCGTCAGCGACGCAAGAATTATTTTGCTTTCCAATTGTATCCATAACAATTTTATTATTTCAGTCTTCGATATGTTCAACAAAACTATTGAGCAGCCTATGGGTGGCATCATGAAAGGTTTTATGGTAAGATATTATTGTGATATTCTAAACTAGCGGACTCGGACTAACCTATTTGTTATTCTGATGTATGAACTATATTATTGTAAAGTTTCATTAAAATCCAATCAGTAGTTTTTGTGTACTAAGCTGTATAAGTTACTACAGTTTTTTAACTATCCAGCGGGAACTTTTTAATTATCCGGGATGAAAGGTATCTAAAAAGTTCACCGGGAATATAAGGTACCACCATGCAAAATTTCCTTTAAATCGGTCCAACAGTTGCGGGGATTAGCCCGTATAAACAGACAAACAGACAGAGAAACAAAAAAATTGAAAAAGTCTGTTTTTTTTCTATTTCTCTTCTTACATCCCCTGACTCGGTTTTTAGCACTTTTTTCTATGAACAGACATTCGACCTCTACAGTTTTATTAAACCTATGTATAGATTGCGTAAAAATGTACAATATATTATAGACCCTAAATGCCCTTATAATATTATCTCAGAGGAGTCGATTTTTTTCTATCACAAAATTATCATCTTATGTAATATGGGTTGCTTATCAAATTAATTAATAAAATTTATAATTAATAAAATTTAATTTATAACTTTTTTTTTACTACAATAAGCTACGCTTTATGTCACTGTCTGTAACAAGTATATAATATGCCTTTGAGACGTCTTTAACCTTAGTCTCTGCCGTGACAATGATTGCTTTAAAGCATTCGAAACGTCGCGTCGGGAACCAAAAATCAAAATAAATTCGCGAAATAATCCGAAAAGACAGTTTTATTTACAATGTCAAATATTCGCGTAAATCTAAGAAAGTATTTTTTTTTTAATTTCAGGGATAGCACAAGAGCTACAACATTAAGGCTCCACAAAATGGCACCGACGAGATCGCTTACAGTTTAACGATAGTTATAATTAGTAGTTATTAAAATATAAAAAGTAGTAAAAACGTTATTTTGTTTAATTCTATGAACCTTTTATGTCCTATTAATTAATATTAAGCGTAAATAAGATTAAGCTATTATGGATAAATTCTTAAAATTAATCTAAAATATAGCTATAGGTACAATATACAAACATACACCTATTAACATTAATGAATATTTCGCATGAGTACAAACATAATTATTTAGATATATAATAAAATTCTGATTCGAATCTGCATACAATAAATATATTTTGGAAAATCTTATCAAAATAACCATTTTTATCGATACAGAGGCCTAATCTATAGTTTTTAGAGTTGTTGTCTGTCTGTCTGGGAACGCACCACGAAAAAACCATCAGACAGATTTTGATGAAATTTGGTATGATGATAGCTGGTTGTCCGGATCAAGGATATAGGATACTTTTTACTTTGGGAAAATATCTCATCTCAATTTATACTAAACCAAAAAACGTAGTGGCGAACACAAGCGGAGCGAGGGTGAGTCGCTAGTTTAAAATAAGTTCTAAAACACCAATTTCTTCTTTTTCTACATAAACATAGACCTACATGATACTGATAGGTACCAATTTTTACTTTGTCTATGGTATACAGAGTAGACAGTTTCATATCATGTGTATAGACAACATAATGATTATTTTATTGTCTATGTTTTCAAAATAATAAGCAGGTTTTCTTTAACACAAGTTGCATTTGTATCATTAATTTACATAAAAGATAAAACCTGTTTATTTGTATTATATCCCATATCATTTTATACGTAAGTATACTTAATATGCATTATAAATATTTGATATACTGTACATTTTAGAACAACGATAAAAAATCTAATTAATTATCAATTCTAAAGTCACCAAAGCGTTATTTATTAATATCTACTATTTTCTGTTATTGCATGTTAAATAGTAATCATATTTTACTTTTAACAGTATGCTGCCCTAAATAACTTACTCTAATAATTTATTTACCTAAATTACCTAATAAACAGTATTTTAGATTTATATAAGCACAAATTTATAATTATTTATCAGATAAAATATTCATTTTGCATAATTTCACCAAATAACGGTAATAAATACTAATGTACAACTAAAATATAATCATTTCGTTTGAATTTTATTACGACAAAGTTCTAAGTTCTTCATCATGACAGGACATTATGTTGCTAGAACAAAAAAACCATTTTTAATTTTGAAAAGGTACTTTTTCATTTAGGATTAATCCCGTTTAAAGATTATTATTACTTAAATCATAAATAAAACTAACATTTGCTTCAAAAATATATTATTTTTGCAATAATTTGATGTAATAAATCAAATTTAAACCAAAAACTAGAAAACATATTTAGTAAAAGCGAAGTCGTCTCAATTCAGGGAACGAAGGACTGAAGGTCGCTTTTATATTCTTAGAGCGATTCAATACGTAATTAAACAAATATAATAAATTAAACAGGTGAGATTTTTTATATTTATTTACGTATTGATTAATAAATAAAAAAAAGGCGCTTGGTTTTTTTCCACATACATCATAGTATAGCTGTTATTACGCCTTTAGTTATTGTTGTGTTATTCAAACGAGTTATTTTATTTTTTACTTTTAACTTTATCTTTTCTGTAAATTAATGTGTGATTCATTATGAATCAGTTTGAGTCGTGTTTTTATGGGTTTCACTATCGTTTACACAGATAATTCGATTTTTTATACATTACTGTTATAAATGAAAGGTGTTTATTAAAATTTACCTGTTGGATATATTTAATTGATTGATTATATTTAATTAGTGGGATATACTAGTTTTAATCCAAATATGAACTAAAACTTGAAACTCAATTAATAAAAGTAACATATTACTTAAAAAAATGACATTTTAACACATGCTGTTAATATTGAAACTATATAGGTATACATCAATAATACCTAATATATTTTTATTTACCTTCCAGACTTCTACAAATAAATATGTCACTTAAAAATGGCAAACCAGAAAAGAAAAAACCAAGAGCAATGCCTGTAGAAGCAATAGTAACCCGGTACAAATCTAAACAAAAACAACTGGAAAAGGACCAGCAGAGCACCACAAGTAGTATAGTTGATGTGAAAAATCAAAAATCATGTAAAAAAATTGTTCAGAAAGCAAAGAAAGTACAAAAAAAACATGTTGTGAAAACAGTTGAAGAAGATGAAAAGCGAGAATTGTATCCAAATAAAGTTAAAAGAAAGATTGGTAATAAAAAGATAGTGCTTCTACCGAAGAATCATTTCAAATTAATTGGTGCAATCAAAGGTTGTAATAAAAGAAAACTGTGTAGACCAAGAAAAGGTAATTTTATCATATAAAATGCATATTTTCTAATTTTTAAACTATTTATAATATATTTCATGTTTTATACTGTCATATTTATAGATACTTTGCTAATATTTAATTTATTGACAGTTAAAGAGAATGTGTCACTATTAAATTTTGACAACAATTTTAAAGTGATTTGTTTGTTTCCGTACAGGGGTTTCTTGTAAGCCATTTTACCAGAATAACATATCTTTACAAAACATGGATTGAAGGAAAATTTTACACAAGGTTTATATATTAAATGATTCTTTATACATATTAAAGCAAATAATAAATTGATGTAATAATCTATACTACTATTATAAAGAAGCAGAGTTTGTTTGTTTGAATGCTAGTGCGGATCTCAGGAACTACTAATCCGATTTGAAAATTTTTTTTTGCATTAGATAGCCTGTTTATTGAGGAAGGCTATAGGCTATATATCATATAAAATATAGTCTATCTGTGACTTAAGTACTAAGAATAAGATCAAAAATATATTTAAATCTTTAAATTTTATTTCAGAAATACCCTATCAAAAGCGGCAAAGGCATAATTCAAATTCATCCAATGAATCAAAAATAAAACAAAAGGATATATCTATAATAGACATGGTGAAGGTAATGGAAGACAGTAAGAGTTTAGATGATGAGGATTTATTGGAAATTCTAACTTGTCCGAGCCCAGTGTGGTGGGAAGATCCTCCTGATGGGTATATAGAAGGTATTATATACATTTTTGCTGTAATTTTAGCTCTTACATTAACATACTAGTTACAAATAGTCATTTTACTAATAAATATTAATATTTTCATGTAAAAATACCAAATGGGATGTTTCTGTATATATTAAAGAAATATATTTTTTTATTACTAGCAAAAAGGTTTTATTAAAAAAAAACTAAGCATTATTTTTGCTTAACATTGAACATATCCAAATTCCAAATACTAAAATTAACTTGGTTCAAAAGTTTTACCATAGAAATGAACCTGAAACACAAAGAGTTACTTTGTCAATTTCAATATTAAGTGTATTAGTTTGCCATAGAAACCCTTCGCCCATGGACTCAAAGGGGTAAACACTTCTTAAAAGATATAACACCTCGTCTTATTGCTTGTACTGGTGACAGGAGAGCTCGTTTTTCGCCCAAAGAATCGGCTTTGCCATTCAGCAGGGGATGGCCCAACGTGCGTTCACCTTGTCGTGGTGGGGGGGCTCAGTAGTGCCTGGCAATCCACCGGGCGCGAAGCCAAGAAACGCACAGGGAGGTGGCCCACTTCGATGGGCGGTGGGAGGTGGCCCTCTTCGGTGGGCGGCGTACCATGCGGGTTGCTCCTGGTACTTCTCTTACAGCAGAGTGGACTTTGGAGCAACCCCATGATTGTTGTGGTCTGCTTCGGCGGACCTGCCGTCGGGGCGTCGTAGTTGAATGCGTAAGCGATCCTGCGACGCCCCATTAAGACGGGGGAAGGTTTTGTTGGGTTTTAGTGGGTAGTACTTTGCCGGTGAGACCCACACCACGTGCGTAAATGCATTTCCCAACGTTAAGAAAAAAAGGGGATGGGGCTAGCATTCTTGCCACTATTCCACGGAGACATGACTGTACAGTAATAATTAAGTGTACCTACGTTTGTTTTCTATGTATAATTAAGTATATTTGTAATTTCAATGTATTTCCTTTAGTGTATTATACATAATATATGTATATGAATAATTTCTTAGGACAGAGTTTCTCAAACTTACAGTCAATTTACCTCCTGTATTCAGGTTATGTTGAAAACAACTAAACAGTCCCTTGATATTTTTGTATGAATGATTTAATTTAAGTGAAAACTAAAATTAATTATCTCCATATATCTCCCGTGACCATGAATGCTGTAAAGCATTCGAAACGTCGGGAAACAAAAATACAAATAAACCCGAGACAAAATCCGAAAAGATAGTTTTATTTAAAATGTCAAATATTCGCGTAAATCTAAGAAAGTATTATCTCCATATAACCAAATAATGCATGATATAAATAACGAAATTGTAAAGCATTAAGAAAGTATGTCAATGAAAATTTATTAAAAAAAATAGATTATTCCAATCCTTGTTGGGCGTGGGCCTCCCTTCAATACGAGCGGGATCAGGCCATAGTTCGCTGGCCAAGTGCGGACTATGCTTGCTAAGTTATCTCAGACATGCAGGTTTTCTTCAATGTATAGGGCAAAAAATAAAAATACACTGCCTTGTAAGTTGTAGCTCTTTTACTGTATACATAATTTAAAGATTGAATCAAGAATTTAGCTTAAATGTTGAATTACATTTTTTGGCATTCCTAAATAATAATTTTAATAACAAATTTTTTTCAGAAGCAATATTCTCCAGACCACAACCAAAATTCGTGCAGAAAAGTGTCAAAAGTCAGATTCTGGAAGAACAGAAGAAAGAAGAGGAAAGAACAAAAATAGTATCCAAAGTAGATTTAAGTAACCAAAAAATTGACAGTGAAATGAAGATGCCGTCAATAACTATAAATGTTGAAAACCGCGATAAAACTTTTATTAATAAGCGATCTAAATTAGAAACATTATTAGGTAACATTAAAAACAAAGCAAGCAATACAAAAGTTAGTGATACAAAAGACAATTTAATTAAAAAAACTAAACATTTCAAAAAAATTCAAAATTTGAAAAATAAAACTGGTAAATTTTTGAATAAAAGAACGAAATCGATTAATAAGTCTCAAAATGGGAAAAATAAAATCGATTCAAATGTACTAAGAAATAATTTGGAAATATCCCAAAGTGACGGTTCAAAGGATGGAAATGAAAAAGATAATAAAAACGATACAGAAATAAAAGTGAAAAGTGAGAATAAAAAACGTAATTCAGACAGTTTCAATCTCTCAGACTTCGAAGACGATGTTTTAAATAATTTAGAAAATATCGATATACCTATAGAGAAGTTGGATGATGATAAAAATTTCACATTAAATATGAAAAAGGAAGAAAAAGACGAAAATTTACGACGTAATTCCATCGAATCAAATTTGAGCGAAAAAAATATGACAGCTGAATATTTAGACATGAGTGTATTCGATGATGATATTATGGAAACAAAAATGGAGGATTCGCCAATTAGTATTGTTAAAATAGAAAAAAATACTGCAGAATGTGAAAATTTTGAAAGTGTTAATAACAAAAAAGAGAAAAAAAATAATTCTAATTCTAAAAGCTTTGAATCAGAACATGTCACTGTTTATAAGATAATTAATAATGAATTAAATAACGAAGTGAATAAATTAAAAATAATACTAGCAAAAGACGATACCAAAATAGCTCAAAACATAGATAAATCTAAGGAAAATAATGGAAAAATAAACAATTACTATAAACAATGTAAAAAGATTAAATTAAATAACAAAAATGTTAGTGAATTGACAAAAACCGATGTAACTCCGATGGAAGTACAAGAAAAATCGATATTGATATCAGAATCGGATGCAGTTAGATATTGTTTTATTTGTTCGTCGATTTTCGATAAAGAAAGCTGTGATTATTGTGAGAAGAAAGGTTTGAAAAGGAAAAAAATGGTATTTTCTTGCGACGTTTGCGGATTAAAAGTTAATACTAAGCAGGAAATGATAAAACATTTGGAAGAACATATACATAATATAATACAGTAATGTGTTATATCCATTTTGGATAAAAAAACGTGTCTATGTACTTATGTACACACGTAAGAACTTATACTTCTTTGGCGTAACAGAACAAAAATAGCTAAAGATTTCATCCTCTGTGTTTGTAAAAGGAATGCAACTAACTTCACCATGGCGCTTTCAGCTAACTTCATCATGTCGCCTGTTAGCTGTCAGTGTGCGCGCGCATCGTAAAAATTTTACTTTCATATTTTTTCCAAACGTGCCAAAAGAAATGTAACTTCAAAAAGTTTCTTTTAGCAAAATATATAAATATTATTTGTTACAAAAAATCGTTTGTTGTATATTTTAATAAAAAATTTATCTGTCAAAAAACCTGTCACTGAACTATCAAAATGTCAAATATTTTTTTTTAAATTACTTTGGTATGCACTGAAATCCTAGAGTCAAAATAATAATAATTTTGCATAAACTTCTTTAATCACTCCACGACCGCGGACACGCCGGCGTGTCAGTTAACAATAGATTTCTTAGAATTTTAATTAATTTCTTAGAAATTTACCTGGAGATGTTAATGTAACAAGTACCTAATTATCTAAATCTAGCGACTCGCCCTCGCTTCGTTCGGGTTCGTCCCTAGCTTGCTTCCCCATACAAACTTTCATCCCCTTAAGGTATGATTTCTGGGACAAAAAGTATCCTATATCCTTCCCAGGGTCTCAAACTATCTTTTCACCAAATTACATCTAAATCGGTTCAGTAGATCCAGAGATTACCCCCTACAACGTCACAATCTCACAAACTTTACCTCTTTATAATATTAGTATAGATATTATGCTCATAATGTAAGAAAAATTATGAAAAAAAAGGTTGTATATTATGTATGGATTAAGACATTGTTATATGCATATAAAGAAAGCTGTAAATATATTTTTAATTTAAGAATACCTATAAAAGATTAATTATTAGAGGATATTTTGTTTTATTTTTCATTCCCGAATGAGAATCGAATTCGTAATTAGTAAATTAACACTTTTTCTGACGTGTATGCTAGTACGATTCGTTATTTTTCTTATAATACTCGTATGTATTCAGCCTTTTTTAACGTTCCACTGGTGGGGGTTGGGCCTCCCTTCAATACTCGGGGGATCATTCCCAGGCGCGGATCCAAAGTTAAATTTTTTCATAGGCTGAAATATACATAATATAATAAAACAGTAACATAGCAAAATCTGACCACCAGGCGCGGATCTAATTTTCTATTTGGGTTGGGGGTTGTAAGGCTTTAATACTTTAGCAGGTATATAAGGAACAAAAAACGTTGAAAAATAGTTTTTTTTAATTTCTGGCTTGTTGTGACATCTTATCGAAAAATATTCTTTATATGAATTTCATCAAAATCTGTCCAGTGGTATTCTCGTGATGCGGTAAGAGACAGACAGTCAGAGAAAAATTCTAAAAACTATAGATTCGGCCTCTGTATCGATAATAATGTCTATTTCAATTAGATTTTCCAAAAAATGTTTAATGTACAGATTCGACTTAGTTACAATTTTATTATAATTTGTTGGCTCCTTATTACAAGGTTCTATGTGTCATTAGCTACAGTTTTGCAGAAACAAACCACTAGATAGCGGCACTATAACTACAAAATATTCAATTTTACATAGTTCTATGTTGTTTTTTTATACAGTAACAAAATAACGAAGTTCTATGTAAAAATTACTTAACTTCATTAAAATTAACATAGAACCTTGTAATAGTGATTATGTATATAGATTTCTGCAAAAACTTTTTGATATTCATGAAACTAGGAGAATATAATCTTCAAAATACATATAATAACATTTTTTTTTAAATCGAAATGTTTATCCGTTTCTTTCTTCCTTTCTTAGACTTCAAACTTCTCTAAAAAGTATATTCGGCTTTGGGGGGAGGGGGGGGTCATGACCCCCATGACCCCCCCCCCTGGATCCGCGCTTGAACATCCCACAGTCCCCCACACCGACTTGGCGGACGGACTGAGCATGTCTACAACTTGCTAGGTTCTCTCAGACATGCAGGTTTCCTCACGATGTTCTCCTTCACCGTAAAACAATTGGTGATCATGTTGGGAATGATTCGGACATGAGAATATTAGATGCGAGACCCGGGATTTGAACCCGATTCATTCGGTTTCCCAAGCGAGCGCGTTGCCACTGAGCCACCTTATAAAGCAAAGGTAAAACTAAAGAAGGAATAAATGAATGATTTGTAAGGAAATTCGTTATTTTTGAAGTTAAGAATTAGATTTTTAAGCTTTTATTTATATTCACTAGCGGCCCTAGGTGCGTTTTACGGTTAATATGGAATATATAGACTATATATTATGTAACGCGTATTCCCGTGGGAATGAGTAATCAGTATGGAAGTATGGATACAAGAAAAACAAATAATATTGATTGTAACTTTTATTTACTTAAATATCTATTCATACACTGTTTATCGTATAACACATTTATATGTAGTTTATCCGAAGCGGTCAACTCTGTCGCGTGCCCCATCGATATGGTACGTTGCCAGAGATGGTCCTAAGGAGTATATGTTTAAATTAGGTCAAGTGCGAGTCGATTTAGTTTTTTTTAATTAGAAAGTTTGCTCTTAAACCTTGGAAATTTGAATTTTTTTATTTTTTGTTAATTTGCGTATTTCTATGTTTGTTTCGTTTTTAGGCCCAGTAATTAAATATTTATATGTATTTATAATCTATGTACTAAATGTCTTTTTTTATTTATTTCTAGTGGAGTACAAATTATGTTGTAAGTAACAGACACACGCAACAGAGTTTAAGGGTTCCTTTTTTAACTGGAGCTTGTCGCGAGATTTATCTGCGTATATAAACTAGAACACAATATGTTAACTTGATCTTAACTATAAGTAATTCTAAAAAAATATATGTGTTTTTATAAAACAGGTAAACCTCGCAACAAGCTTTTATATTATATAAATTGTGTAATGTAATAAATTGATTGGTTTGATTTAATTTAACACAATTTTTTTGCACACATTATATAACTTACCTGTATAGGCTGTACAGTGGTGGCTCCAAGCCCACAGTCGCGACACATATAGTTCGCGGGTGCATGAGTTATACTTTCAAAATCGTATGGAATGTTTCTGAGCCATGCAGATTCTGGCGCTTTTTCCAGGTACTGTTCTTTTCCTGTAAAAATATTTCATATACTAATTTATAAAAACCGTAATATATTACGTAACGATTTAAGTATGTACGTGCATCCCTAAATGTTAAAATATTGGGACATTAACACATAGCACCATCTAGTTAGTTCCGTGTTAACCTACGAGGCTTGTGTTATGGATACCAGATAGTTGATACCTACACTCGAAAAAATCCAAAATATTCACATAAATCTATGAAAGTAAGTTGGTAATTATTTATTTAATTAACTTAAATACAATTTATGTGATTTGAAAGCGTCGACCAAAGAGAACACAATGAAAATCTCGCTCTACCCTGATTAAGGGCCTTCGTTTTTCTTTATTATTATTTTTTTCTGACTTTTTAATTTTAGTTAGACATTTTTAGTTTTCTTTAACAATATTTTTATCCTAAATTATTTTTAAAAATATACTTATTTCTGTTATATTATATATATTAAATACCCGTATTTTGATTTCCCACTCGTTTGATTTGGGCTAAAAAAAACTTTTCAAGACACACAACCGGGCGCCTTAGATCTGCCATTTTGATTTTTAATGATATGTATATACCTTATGACACTCGCGTTATTAAGACGAATCTAACAACGTATGAATCATCAAAATCTGTTTAGCCATTTAGTAATTACGAGAGAACATTGGATCAGACATACATACATGTTAAACACATAATCCTCCTTTGAATCTCGCCACAGTCGGGTATAAATATTAAAAACTTACCCTTTTCAACATGCCCCCAGTTGATAATGACATAATTATCCCTATCGAATCTATTTGACATCATATTTATGCCCAAAGCTCTTATCAAGTTGTTGGTCACGTGCGCTGCGTGTCCGGGACCGCCTCGAACAAAGGAAGAGAGCTTTAATTGCTGGAATATTAATAAATACTAACTGTCTAGTGGCTAGCATGTACGGCAGCAGATCGGGACGTCCTGGGTTCTAGTCCCGGGCTGGGTCAAGTTCAGTCAAGAAATACTCAGTAACAGCCCGGAGTCAGGAAATTGGCGGTGTTGTACCCTCGGGCCTTGGAAAGCACGTAAAGCCGTCAGTCCTGCGCCTGATCTCTCACCGCGAGTGTCAAAGTTTCGTCCCACCGGAATGACAGGAATGGAGAGTGCACTTGTGTTTATCTCTTTCCCTCACATACTGCTCCTATATATCTCCTGCAGTTGGCTAATCTCAATGAGAAAGAAAGAGAGGTCGGGAAAAGTACATTATTATAATTAATAAATACTACGTTTCAACAAATTAGTATCCCACGGAATTCTAGATCTGGGGTAAAATATTCGCCTGAGACACTTATTGAAACAATCTATTTTCACACAAAAAACTATCACTATAACATATCTTTGCTTCGCTCGGGTGCGTCGCTGGATGCCTGACCTTAGTGTAACTAAATTCGGGTTGAAATACGTATCCGAGCAAAGCGGGGGTAAGTATATATTATTTTTATATTCTCTGTTCCGTGTAGAAGAATGAAATAGTAGAAAGAGGCTTTTATTTTACATTCTTTAGCAGTTTTTATAAACTTTTCACTATAGATATGTTCTTTTTATTCTTATTTTTCTAAAATTTGTCGCCCCCACTACAAGTCTTGCGTTGTAGTCAAAAAAGCTCCTACTCCTCTAAACGTCCTCGTGATCCCATTGCAGGGTTGATTTCAAAGCTAAATTGCCTCGTTATATATGTATATTGAATACCAAAACTAAAATTTAAACACAACGACAAAAATATCCTCGTTTTGCTACATTTTGATATATATCCTTATTTCTTCCTTATGTTTATTTGGAGTTTGGATATTCAAATTTTAGACCTCCTTGGCCTACCAGTTTGAGAAACACTGGCTTACGATATTCCCTTACCTGTTTACCTTCAAAAAAACCAAGGTTTGGCATCTCGTTCCCTTCATCACCAAACCAAAGGTAACTCTTCGCGAGTAGCTGATCATCAGGCACGAACTCTTGGAACACCACACATGAGGACAGTTCTAACACCGCCATTGATTGTTTTAAGAGTCTATAATCTGTAGTATTTTCTGTATAAAAAAACAACATTTCTGTATAAGAAAACCACTCTCGCTTTACAGAAACATCCAATAATAACTGGGATGGTGATATCCCGCGGGATTACCAGAAAAACCAACACACCAAACACCGGCATTGTAATAAACCTATGTAATATTCACCCAATAACTTTATTAAAACAAAAATCATTTCTTTCTGTTTCTGCTTAAAAAAAGACATAATAAACAAAGATACGTTCCCAATTACAACATACATAAGTATTATTTTTTTTTTGCCTAAAAAGTTGACTGATTTTAAAATTACTTACTCTAACCTAATTGGATTTTTTTGTCATTTCAATTTCAATTTACAATTAGCGATGATATCGAGTGCATATCTAAGAAATCACAGCCAAATTGACCACCTCCTTTGAAGTTGGTCAAATAGCCGAATGTTAGCAGCAGTAGCTCTAATATACTGCACATTTAAGTAAATGCGCGTCTGTGTATATATCTATATTAATTCAAACTGTTTGTTGGTCTAGTGGCTATTATATACGGCTGCAGATCCGGAGGTCCTGGGTTCGAGTCCCGGTGCGGGCAAAGTTTAATTACTGATTTTTTCTATTAAGATATTTTCAGTAGTAGCCCAGAGGAGGGAAGTTGGCGGTGTTACACTCCCGTGCCTCGAAGAGCACGTGTCGCGTCGCTCCTGCGCCTTAACTCTCAGAGGTCGTGTCTCGAGTCGTCCCACCGTAGTATGAGAGTCAGACCGGAATAGAGAGTGCACTATAATATCTCCTACGCAGTTGGCTAGTCTCAGTAAGATTGGCCGCAGCACGCGAAATCGGTCAGAACATTTATTAATTCAAAAACTTACTCAAATATTCTTCTACTCCATACAAAACCATTCCCAACGGCCACAACTTATTGTTATAATATTCCATGTTCTTATCACTCAATTGTGAAGAATCTTTTTCAGTTCTCCTTTGTATTACCACAGGTTGAGATACCAACTCACAATGTTTTTGATAGTGTTGATTTATGTAATTACGGTCTTTATTGGATATTAGAGAGGGGTGTAGATTCGATTCCTGAAATGGTAAATTTATTAGATTTATTAGAACTAGCGACTCAATCTCGATTTGCTCGGTTCGTCCCTAGAATCGAATATAAAATAAAAATTTAGGCAGACATCCTATAAACGGGCTATCTAATGCAAAAAAATTTTTCAAGTCGGATTAATAGTTCCTGAGCTGAAAAAAAAACAAAAAAACTCTGTCACTTTATAATATTAGTAGGTATAGATTATGCGAGCAAAGTTGCTGGAGCAAACAAGTATATAGGTATACAATACTTACCGTTTCATCAAACTTCTTGATCAAATCAAAGCTGTTAATGGATGTACCTGAAATTATTTATATCTACATTTATTTTTAGGAATAATATCTAGAGGTCTTAGACCAGATGTCATTTTACAATTGTTAAAATTTGTATTGATAATGACAAAAAATCGTTATGCCATAGAATTATAATTCATAGTATGTCATTCACATATTTTAAATTTTATTTCTAACTAGCATTGCCCGCGGCCCCGCCCGCGTTCAGATGACCAAAAACCAAATTCTTAGGTTTTACATATTAGTATACTCTTACATTGCAGTTTTTGTATTTTTTCTCAGAAATGAGATATTTTCCCGCGGTAAAAAGTATCCTATATGTTGACCCGAATAACCAGCTACCTCAATACCAAATTTCATTAAAATCCCTCTAGTGGTTTTTCCGTGATGCGGTAACAGACAGGCAGACAGACAAAAATTCTAAAAACTATAGATTCGGCCTCTGTAGGTATCGATATTAATGTCTATTGCAATAAGATTTTCCAAAAAATATTTAATGTACATACAGATTCGGCTTAGTTAGAATTTTATTATATGTATAGATTTTCATTTTCAATCATTGTGCCATTTTTGTAACGCGCAACTCTAACACGTTAATGCAACTCTAAGCCATTAAAGAAAAAAAAAACAGAGAATTTCAACTGGCACGCTTTGAAGCCAATAAACAAGAGAATTGAATTGAAATAATTTAGATTTCTATTCTACAAGCTTTAAAGTCATTAACAATTGAATTGGATTTTGTTCTACAAGGATTGTAGATTGACATCTTATCTTTAAGGCCCTAGATTCACTTTCTAGGGTTTTAGATGTCCTACACCTGATTAAAATGATGCTTGCAGATATAAATGGCGCTAGTGTAAACAAACAATATCAAAGTTTATTAGCATCCAATACCCAGGCCACTTTCGGCCATGATATCTGCCTATGCCCAATAAAAGGGATTTTATAAAATTTAATATAAACTTTATAGGACAGAAGTCAGAAGTCATACCTAGAGCGGGAGAGTTCTCAAAATGCATGCCAAAAGACCCTCATTCAAGAAACCATTTTCACTCATATAGGTACGTATAATATTGTTTATTTCTATGTTACTAATCGACCCAAATTAACTTTTTTTAAATAATAATAAAACAATTTACAGTATAAATTATTAAAAAAAAAAACAACCGCTAAGGTCGTTATAATTTACTATTAGAGTGTTTTTGAAGAGGATGTGCTTTTTTATATTTAAAAAAACGTGTGTGTCATGTGTGTACTTATGTACGCACGTAAGAAGTTATACTTCTTCGGCGTAACAGAACAAAAATAGCTAAAGATTTCATCCCGTGTGTCACAACTCTGTGCTTGTAAAAGGAATGCAGCTAACTTCATCATGTCGCTTTTTGGCTGTCGGTGTGCGCGCGGATCGTAAAAATTTTACTCACATATCTTTTCCCAAACGTCCCAAAAAAAAGCTTCAAAAAAAGTATAACAGATACTTTACTGTAAAGTACTTACCATACGGATTGATACTTGCTTTCAGCATCTCCACTACGATCCGAGCTATGTCCTTTTCATTTATACACTTATAACCTATTTGCATATCCTGAAGAAAAATTATTATACACTCCACTACTGAATTATAGATATTTACGACACATTTAGGTCATTTTGTAGTGACCCTGCTTGCTGTGCCAGCGTTCGCGGGTTCGAGTCCCGCTTGGGGCATTCATTTGTGTGATGAGCACGAATGTTATACTCCAGTCATCCAGATCTGAGGCACAAGGATGAATCATGAAACACCGCCGACTTCCCAACTCCGGGCTGTTACTGAGATTTACTAAACAGAAAGACTCAATAACTAAACTTGGCCCGACCCGTGACTAGAATCCAAGACCTCCGGATGTGCAGTCGTACATGCTAGCCACTACACCACCGACGTTTTATTTTAGTATCTGTTGAGGGCAGCTATAATATTACACAGTTCAATGATTCAGAATCATTCAGTTAATTTTTTAGCTTTCCTTTTCAGGACCTAAAAGACGTTTTCATTTTTGATCGACTTCGCAGAAAGAGGTTCTAATTTTGTATTTTATATACATTTGCCATTTCATATTAGTGTCATTTATAATTATTGTAAGCCAATTCTTTGTAGGGTTCCGTACCCGAAAGGTGCCAACGGAACCCTATTACTAAGCCGCCACTGTCCGTCTGTCCGAGGGCTTTATCTCATGAACCGTAATAGGTAGAGTTGAAATTCTCAGAGTGTGTACCTATTACTATTGCCGCTATAATAACAAAAAATAAAAAAAAAACAAGATGGCGAATTTCAAAAAAACTGCCATGCAAATTAAAAAAACAATCATTTTCAAAAAAACCGAAATCGAAGGAATCCATCTTTCGTGTGAGAGTCCAACTAGCACTTGATCGATTTTTATTATTTCATACGTTATTTTACGCCCCAAGGTGCCCATTTTACTTCCAAAGGAATTTTGAAGCTTTGTTTTATCCGACTGCGGCGAAGCTCAAAGGAGGGTAATGTAATTGACCTATATGTATGTTCGACCCTATGTTCCCTCGTAATTACTAAATGGTACAACCGATTTTGTGGTCTTGTTATTTTTCAGCATTTGAAAAGCCATAACCAATAACCTAAAACTAAATACTTACAACAACTGTTTTACTAAAATCATACTGCAGCGGCGAACAAAATTTATTTTTCTTTGGATTACTTATATACAACACCTTCTCGTCGCTCGAATTGTAATACGGCGTGAAAAAGAACTTCACGCAAATTTCACTCTGGAGATTAGACAGCGTGTTAATTATAACATCTTGGGAATGTGGATCTGAAAAGTGCATGAATATGTCCGATTTATCCCATTTTTGGCAATTTTAAAACCTTTGGTAAATTAAATTAGGATAAAATGGATAGAAATAAGCATCGAATAATGTAGGAAAACTTTTTTTTTTTGGTCGAACTTTATTTGATGTATAGATAGGTTTACTATACAAAACAAATAATAAGTAAAATTTTCTGCTAGACACTAGTGACAACTAAAAGTGAGTTAAAACAGTTGCAAGTGGAGCTAATAGTAGGGTGGGCTCCACGTTTTTTTAACGTTGGGAAATGCATTTAGGCACGAGGTGTGGGTCTCACCGGCAAAGTCAGTACTACCCACTAAAACCAAACAGAACCTGCCCCGTTTTAATGGGGCGTCGCAGGATCGCTTACGCACTCAGCCACGATGGCCCAACGCCAGGTCTACCGAAGCAGACCATAACAAACATGGGGTTGCTCCATAATCCCCTCTGTTATTTGAAAAGTACCAGGAGCAACCCGCATAGCACATCGCCCACCGAGGTGGGCCGCCTCCCAGTAAGGCTGGGCTCCCCTAGGGAATTTTGAAATTTGCTCAAGCGCGACTAACGTAACGTTTCTTCGGCTTGTGGAAATCGGTAGATTATTGAAAAAGCACACTTTTCAGCATATAATTAGCCCACCACACTTTAATCTAACGGTTTCAAGTATTTCTAACTTACCATAATATTTTAATCAACTGCCCTAGATGCGCGACCTCATAGAGGACTTATATAATAAATGTCAGACACTACAGACTGCAAGATATCACCCCTTATATTAATCTGCCGCGCTTGAGTAAATCCCAAAATCCCCTTTTGGGCTCCCCTACTGTAATTAAAGCGTGGTAAAGAATCTATACAAATATACTTATACCGTAATCCTTATTATTTATGTAATAATGCACGACTCCATTCTTCCATAGATTTGCACTAACAAAATTACAAAGGCATATTATTGCGAGAAATCTCATAGCTATCGACTCGATCGGATTGATAATAAAACTTCTGTAGATTCAATAGAAAAATCAATTTAAAAGAACAATAAATCATATTTTACAACATAGCAATAATAACAAAAATCTTTACTAATATTAAAAAAGTGAATGTGTGTCTGTTATATTTTTTCACGGTCTAAGACGATCTCGATAAAATTTAGTGCCATGATAGATTGCGTTTTAGAGTAGTGTAATATTATGATGTTTAAAACAAAGAAACAATGAGTAGAAATTAATAATTATACATATGTTGGGACACAGCACCATCTAGTTCCATGGTAAGCTACGAGGCCTGTGTGTGTGTTATACGTGGACCCCTTATTCTTTTTCCAGGCGAAATATGTTTTTTAAACCATAACAAACACGACCCAATGGGGATGTCACAAAAAATTTGCTTTTTCATTTTTAGTTGTTTTTTTTTAAGTACAAGATCCTTTTCCTGTGATAACTTAGTATCAATCGAAAGTAACTTGTAGAAAACGCCATTATACGGTTCCCGGTCTTTTACGAATCCATATTACCTGACATCCAAGTATAAACAGGTACATTGAAGAAGCAAGAATTATCGGATCATATTTACCAGAACCAAGCAAGTATCAAAATTTAGATAATTTTTTACAAATTTAATTAATGTTAAAGGGTTAAAAAGATTTTTTCTAGAATTTTCACTACATTCAAAACGATAGAAAATGCAAATTGTATTTTTCGGGGTTTAATTTTTAAATCCACCCCCGAAGTGACACTTACCAAAACAAATACAGTTTATTCATTTGTTAGTAAGATACTATATCTATATAAAAATTACAAAAGAGTCAAATTAGTAGAAGAGTAAAAAAAACACAGCCGAATTGAGAACGTCCTCCTTCATGAAGAAGTCGGCTGAAAATCGATACAAATAAGTCTTGGGTGTCCGTTTGCGTCCACTTATTTCCAAAACACATGAATATCAAGATAATATAAAGAATCGAAATCGATATTTTTAGGAATCGGATATTTTTGTTATCGATTTTTTTATTTAAATATTTAAATACAAGCGTAAATTAAATTTTTAGCTTATTGAAACTATTTTAAATTATCCATTAACACTTTCAAGAAATTAAAAATATAACTTTTTATTTATATTGGTATTTCATAAACATAATTTTTTATTTAGCATCACAATTTCAATTATTTTAATTAAAAAAACATCAGTCTTAACTCAGTCTTCTCGTAAAAATCAATTGTATCTATATAAATAACATTATAATGTTAATATAATCTGTGCATATTATCACAAAATTTATGTAAATTAATTACATATTTTAAAAAAGCATGGGTGCATCCGACGCACGACTGGAGTTTACTCCATCAGAAACAGTTTTTGATAATTTATTTTTTTAAATTTTATTATAAAAAATAAATTAATAATATTACATATAAATAATTGTAATATAATTAATGTTATATATTTATTTAATTACATTATAAATTTTTTTAAACCCTTTCATTTGGAATCCATAACAGGAGGGCATAAAAAAATCAGTCCGCCATATTGGATTTACAATGAGTTTTTGCTTATTGTTTCGCTCATCAAGCCATTTCATTTGTTAACCACATCATATGGGGGCTTAAAAAAAGTCCCATGTTGGATTTACATCAGAGAATGAAATTATCAAGAAAAATATGTCTTTTGATAATTATCAGATGATTACCAGATATAAACTTAGCAATCCTTGTGTACACTTTTACCAATCAAGGTATTTTTTTTAATACAAAAACAGAATAAATTTAACTATTTAATAAGATTAATGAGTGGAATATCATCCTCGTATCCTCAGTTCTCAATTTGAGAGTTGTTTTTGAGCTAATTCAGAGTTCAGTTTGCTGATCGACAATTTGAAGAGTTGCAAATCAACACTTTCGATTATATTTATCAACCTATGCTCATTATGATAAATATCATTATATACATCAAAGATAATTATCGTTTCGAACCCTGGTTTACATTAACAAAAAAATATATCAAAGCTTATAAAATTTACATACCGGGGGGCCTTACATGAAAATCGATTCTTAAGGAGTAAACTCCAAAAATATGTAATACCTAGTATGTATATTTACATTAAATTTTGACTATTATTTTTGTTACATTTAAAAAAAAAACAGAAAAATGTTTTTATAATCGCTTTGCTAGTATTAAACCTCCCTATCAAATATTTAAAACCTATATAAAATTCATTTTTTCTCCATAATTTACTTTTATACATAAAAAAATATTGTATAACATTAAAAAATGCCCAAAAACATTTCTAAAGATACCAAAATAATAAAAAAAAGCAGTCACAAGGACTGCCGACAGGAGTGAATACTTAAAACTATAAACAAACAGTTGCTATTTTTGGACATTCAAATTGTTTGATCTTAAATTAAAAAATGTAAATTAAAACTATTTACATTCGATTTCCACATATATCAGCACTCTTGAGTGTTAGCGTTAACAGGTCACGTGACCATGTCGATGACGGCTTACATGAATTTACTCCCCATACAAACAAACCTGCCTATACAAGTTTTCACTTCAAAAAACTACAAAAAATTTATCCAGACTAGTATTTAAAATCACAGCTGCTTTAAATATAATAAATATACATATAAATAATTACTAAAAATAACTTATCACTAGACAGTCTTCTTTCTTGAGGTACAATAAATAAAACGCCATTTTGTTAATTTTTTTCTTATTTAGTCAAATATACTTACACTAATGACAAAATGTCTAATTAAATTTAATGAATGGTCTGGTTATAAAAAATAATGGTAAAACATTATATTTTTATTGATTACTAGCGACTCACCCTCGCTCCGCTCGGGTTCGTCCTTAGTTGGGTTTTAACGTTTAGTATAGATTTCTCAGAGATGAAGTATTTTCCCGCAGTAAAAAGTATCCTATATGTTGACCCGGATAACCAGCTATCTTCATACCAAATTTCATCAAAATCCCTCCAGTGGTTTTTCCGTGATGCGGTCAGACAGATAGACAGACAGACAAAAATTCTAAGAACTATCGATTCGGCCTCGGTATCGATAATAATAATTATTTCAATAAAAAAATTCAAAACATATTTAATGTACAGACTCGACTCGGTTAGAATTTTATTATATGTTATAGATTTGCTTCCATTTAAATTTTAAACATCTTGTTTTCTTTACTTACAAAGATAGAAATCACTAAGTCCTAGCAGTGCTTTTTAAATTGTGAGGCGTTAAAAGTTCCACCATATCTTTTGTGCCATCCCCATAGGTCCTATATGGTCTTAAATTTTTATATTGATAGACATATTTTTTGTTTTTAATTTCAATGGCACTTACAAAATTATAATGAGTTTTAGCTACATTGAAAAATATTATCTGTATATATGTATATATATAAAATAAATAAAAGTGAAGTATCTGTATGTAATGTCAAAACAACAGCTTTTTAGTAAATACATATGAAATTTTATACGGTATTTATATGTAAAACTCAATTTTTAAATTTTTTGTCTGTCTGTTTGTTCCGGCTAATCTCCGAAGCGGCTGGATCGATTATGATGGGATTTTCACTGGCAGATAGCTGATGTTAAAAATTTAAAAATTTGGGACGCACCTGAGCGAAGCGAGTGTAAATTGCTAGTAAAAACATATCAAGAAAACTGAAAGTTAAGTCATAGTATTAACTTTACAGTCATGAAAAACTATATTCAAAAGATTTAGCAAACACATTTCAAAAATCAAACTCGGAACTGATTACCCCAAAAAAAAATTGGTCATGTACTTCACATAGTCATGTAACATAATAATTTATTATCAAATTAGTGCTATTATAAAAATAGATTTTTATTTATAATCTATAATCTGAATATTGTTTTTCTCAACCCTAAACCTACATTGTTTTTCAACTCCATAGCTATATAAAAATAACATATGGACAAACAAACAAAATTCCACCATTATTTTAAACCATACACCATTCAAAGATTACATATACACAAAATTAAATCGACACAGGCTTTGCGAAAGAGAAGATATTATTGGTCCATAACCTTGCGCATTGTCATACAATTCAAACAGTGGTGCCGCTACTAATTTATAGTTCTTTGGTACGGCAAATAGGGCTCTGTCTTGTAATTGTACTAGAAATAGCCTTTTGTGCTCCTTCGGCTTAGTTATGTGAGGCGGTATGTAGGGGTACTGCGGAGGTTCAAAGTTAGGCCTCCACCAATTACCTGTAAAAGTGAATGCGGACAAGACTGATGAGATTATGTGCAAAAGTAGTAAATAAGAAATAATATAAACTGTGTGAAATAGTAGCAGGTTAGCAAATTCATTATGAAAATACATATCAAAAGAATTTATTATAAGATTATTTCTTTATTGAATCCCATATTATTTAAATAAATTAAATATTGTTCATATTTAATATGTTAAGAAAATCCATCAAAAAATTAAAACTACATATATTATAGTGGTCCTAAGAAATGCACATACAAACGTACACACATACATACAAATACACAATAGATTGAAACAATCAAAACAAATAGCTTTAAAAAAAAACAAACATACCAATAGTATCCTCTATAAGCCAGTCCTGTTTGACCCCATCTTGTCTTCCCAGAGTCTCAGTCAACAGTCTCTTCAGACCTTCTATTTCATCCTAAAAATCATATGAATGTATTGAAAATTATTAACTTAACGGTTAGTATGGAATAGATAGATATACTATATCTTATAGATATAAAAATCGAGTGTGTGTACTTATGTCCGCATGTAAGAATTTATACTTCTTTGGAGTAACAGAATAAAAATAGCTAAAGATTTCATCCCGTATGTCACAACTCTCTGTTTGTAAAAGGAATGCAGCTAACTTCATCATATACGCTATATCGCTTTTTGGCTGTCAGTGTGCGCGCGTATCGTAAAAATATTATTCTCATATTTTTTTCCAAACGCGCCAAAAGAAGTATATTTATTAACCTCAAAAACGGGCTTGTAGTAAAATAAATCATTTTTTATGCATGAGCATTTGTAACTAAAGATTGTTATTGTTGTTACCCCTAACATGATATTAAGTGCATCGCTATACAATACCATGTTTATTATATACTAGCAACAAACCCTCACTTCGCTCGAGTTTGTCCCTAGCTTGCTTCCCAATACAAACTTATATCCCGATTATCACAGTTTCCCTTAAGGGATGATTTCCGGGACAAAAAGTATCCTATGTCCTTCCCAGGGTCTCAAACTATCTTTTTACCAAATTTCATCTAAATCAGTTCAGTAGATTCAGGGATTACCCCCTACTACCTCACAAACTTACCTCTATAATATTAGTATATAAAAAAAAATCTAGAGGGGTCACTTGTGTTAGATTATTGATATTTTATGTAAGATTTTAATAAAATAATATGTCCAAAGACACTTTTTTTATCACATTCATTTATTGATGTTGACAAAAAATATTAAAAGTATTTTCTATATATATTCTATAAGGATTTCAAATAAAAATACAAAATGGTATTTTAGAAAAGTATTTAAATACAAAATGGAGATAGGCGTTTTGTATTTCAAATACTAGTATTTTAGAAATGACTCCGCTCTGTATTTGACACAAATTTCTATATAGATATTGCTGCTGCATTTAAAAAATGAAAAGAAAAATGTTAAAAAAAAGTTTAATTCAATTTAATTTTTTCTTTAGTGGCTTTCAAGATTCAGGAGTGCCAGATGGGCACAATTTTAAAAAAGTTTAAGCAATTAAATAAAAAATTAAACAAGACTGAATTTCTTAGATTTACGCCAATACTTGACATTTTAAATAAAACTATACCTTCAAGACATGTAACACCTCAGTCTCTCCCGTGACCATGGATGCTGTAAAGCATTCGAAACGTCGGGAACCAAAAATCAAAATAAATTCGCGAAAAAATCCGAAAAGATAGTTTTACTTAAAAAGACTGAATTCCATAAATATCAATACAATACCTCTCCAGGGTTTAGTTCTCCACCAGGCAATTTGAAAAATGCAGTGCCGAGTTGCAGCAACAGTACATGTGGTAACCCATGTTCGTGTACAAGGAGAACACCTTCTACCGACCTGGAAAAAAATAAATATTTTGGGTCATTAACATACAACACCATCTAGTTTCATGATAAGCTATGAGGCTTGTGTTATGGATACCAGATAGTTGATAAACTACACATATAATTTTAAATACATACATATTATAAATTTAAACACCCACGACTGGAATACAAGCATTCATGCTCATCACACATATGCATATCCCAGCAGGATGCAAACCCGCGAGCACTGGCACAGCGAGTAAGGTCACTACTAACTGAGCGGAATGTGTCATTGAAATATGATATGAATACATACTGTTATCAAAACATAAATATCAACTGTGCTTTATTACTATGCTTATTTGCATGAAAATGAAACCGCAAACAAAATTATCACAACTTTAGACTCATAGATTAAGCTGTAAGATGGCTACTTTTTTTACATATAATAAAATTGTAACTAAGTTAAATCTGTACATTAAATATTTTTTGGGAAATCTTATTGAAATAGACATTATTATCGACATAGAAGCCGAATCTATAGGTTTTTTGCCACAAGTTTAGTATATGGGACGCGGCCCCCTGGCGGAGTGGGTGGTACTTTTGGATAGGGTAGGTGACAGGGAGCCCAAATATATAAAAAATATTTTAAGGAAACGTAGGAGTAAAAAGTTATTGAGACTTAAAGTTACAACATTTCCATACATTTTTTCTCTCTTCGACTGCATTACAGAAAAAGCATCAGGCAGATCTTGATGAACGCTGGTTATCTGGATCAACTTAAAATGACGTTTTGACAACAATTGAAAGTGACGTTTTGACATTTCCAAGTGTCTAAATGATAGTAATGTCAAAATAATGTATGGAAATGTTGTAACTTTAAGTCTCAATAACTTTTGACTCTTTTGTTTTCTTAATATATTTAATAAAACATTTGGACTCCCTATCACGTCCCCTATCCAGAAATACCACCCACTCCACCAGGGGCCGGGTCCCCAATTCTAAACTTGTGCCAAACGTTAAAACGTACTAGGGACGAACCCGATCGGAGCGAGTGAGTCGCTAATATTGTCATAATACACTAGCTTCCATTTAAAAATTATAAGATAGCAGAAAATTATTATTTATGATTGACATTACCCACTTCTACTAATGTTGATCGTTTGAAAATGATAATTATATAGTCAATGAACCTGCCCAAGGAATATACATTATAGAAAACTAAAATTCGTTTAACATTAAATGAAGCAGATTATTATTAAATTTACAAGATATATTGAAACAAAACTAATGTTATGATGAAGTTAATTGTAAACTTACCTTCTCATACCAATTTTGGCAAATTCTTCACGCATTCTTTGAAATCTCGCCGGGACAGAGGCATCTTTCTCAAACAGGGGCTCTTTCGTACCAAATGTGTAATTTGTTAACGGGTACAAATTTATTGTTCTATTTAACGTTAAACTCACAGCATTTTGACTGTTTTGATGCTGTACGCCGGGCCGCGTTGGCCATTGCTTGCTACCGGGGGCTCCTTGCACTGCCGCCATTATAACCAAATATTCACGAATTTTTAATGTCTTTCTCACTTAGTTGTATTGATTGAATTTTGTAATATATATATTAACAGTTAAAAAGAAGAATAGTTATGAAAATATATGTTTACTTGAAGTAAATTTTTATATTTAAAAAACAACACTCAACTCGCAAGATAGCTTCACTCCGCCATTAATAAACTTACACTTACAAGTCACAGATTAAAAACAAAATTGAAAATTGGCAATTTTGATTTTTGGATAGTTTTAACTTTTAAGAACTTAATTTTGTGTAATAAAATTATTGCTTGAAAAAAAAATGATACAAATATTTTTAACATTTCTAAAATAAACGGTCGTTTTGTTATTGCTAAATAAGTATTGTATGTATAAGTGTAGTAAGGTACGGATCAAAAACATAACCGTCCTTTGGGCTTCGCCGCAGTCGGGTAAAAATTGGGCACAAGATTTTCTAAAATGAATGAGAACAGTCATTAAAAGGTTCAATAAATTTTAGATAAATGGAATGCTAATATTAAAGGAAGATAATATATTATATCCTTTGATCAACAATACTTATCAATGTCAAACAGTAGGTACCTACCATGGATGACAAATAAATGGTACCTATTACATAAACTGTGAACCAAAGTCCAAAGGTGATAAATCTGTAGGCCTACAATATGTGATCTGTGCTGAATAACACAAAAAAAAATATTTGTCATCCATGAAATAAATGACAATTGACATCTTGACTCATGTTGTTCTAGTTGATATGATTGACATTTGACATTTACTTTTGGAACCTTATTGTAATTTGGAGTTATTGTAAAGTCCTATCTCGTATTTAGAATTTAAATAATTAATCTTCCAGTTAAGTAATGTCGCAACAATTAGAATTACTAACAGAGAGTCCATCACAATGGACCCCAGTATCATTTGTTACTCCAGAAATACAGAAGAAAGAAATTAAACCATTTGTTTTGTGTATGTTTTGTTCTAGATACTTTAATATTTTTATAAATAAAACTTATACTAAATTATCTGAGATTATTTATTTTTATATAACTTACATTCACTTTCAAAGTTTTACAATCCTTCAACTGATTAATTTTTGTATGTTATCATCCACAGTGGCCCTAAAAGAATTAGAAGGCAACCCAGATAGCCGAACATCCAGCTTACAAAATGTCAATAAGTTTGCTGCAGTTAGGTCTGTTGTAAGGCATGTAGCCAGACTAAGATCAGCCACTAAGGAGCCTTGGAATGCAGATGATATACATATATTTTTAGAAGGAATTAGGTATAATAATAAAAAAAAATAATATAACCTTTATACTTAAGATAATCAGCATGAAAATATATATTTTAATAATAACTAATGGCCATCTAGCGTAGTGGTATGTTCATTGTTCACAATTTTTATTAGTTTGATTTTTGGGTAGAGTAGTAAAATAAATCAGGTAAGTATTATTTAAAAAAGTCTCTGTGTGCTCATTTAAAGATTTAGCTGTTACATACAGTAGTTTTTTGTCTGTGATTATAATTTTAATTTTATTTTCAACTGTATTTAGTTCTTTACTAAACAAGTGTATTCCATGCGCATTTCTTATAAAACACAATTTAAAAAAAAAATTAAAGACTGATAATATAATGATAAATATATACATTTAAATATTGTCTTACAAGTCATATGCTTAAATTAATGTATTTATATTTAGTATATATTTTTCATGTCTTACTCACAATATGTGACATTAGTAGAATGTTTTGTGTCTGCTAACGGAACTCTAAGCCATTAAAGAAAAAAAAAAACTAATTAAAGTTGATGAATTGTCAACAATTTTTGATATTTTTGTTTATAAATTTTATTTATAGATTTTCACCAGAATGTGCAGCGGAGTTGACAACATTGTTGTGCACAGATAAAATATATGAGAACATACCTAGGCATTTGAGGGTTAAGCCTGGATTAGTTAATTTACAATGGAAAATTGATGTTTCATTAAGGTTTGTTATAATTATTTAAAAGATTTTAGTTTTAATTGATTATTTGCTACACTAAAAATAGTTTAAATTGTTTTCAATAGATGGCATTATATGAATGGTTTTGTTAGAGGTATAATAAAAAAAGAGTGTGTGTATAGTGTGTACTTATGTGTGCACGTAAGAAGTTATACTTCTTTGGCGTAATAGAAAAAAAATAGCTAATTTGTCACTTATTTTTGCTTATCAATGGAAGCTTTTCTTTTCTTCAAGTTACAAATGCACTTGTACTGCATTTGTTATACTTGTATCAAATTATGATCTACCTGCCTCTGTGGTGTAATGGCTAGCAAGTACAGCTGCACATTCGGAAATCCTGGGTTCGAGTCCCAACGGAGTGTGAGAGTGACAGGAATAGAGAATGCACTTATATCTGAGAGTATGCATACACTGACACGCGCTGCACTATAATATCTCCTGCGCAGATGGCTAGTCTCAATGAGACTGGACGAATTGCCGAAGTCGGTCGGGATACGGGAGGTCATTATTATCAAAGTATGATATTATATTTAATTGTTAATTTCACTTTCAGCCAATCCAACATTGAAGCAGAAAGCGCTAATTCTCAAAGAACCAAGGAAATTCTTTACCGAGATACACAAATTATATTAATTTTCACTTTAACAGATGGACAGATAAATACATACAGATTATCTATAAGTAAGTTTCACGAATTTAGATATATTATAGCTAGTGCGTTAAAAAGTATGATTGTGTTAGAAAAAAGAAAATGTATGAGGAAAGACTGACATAAGTATTTTTGGGGGTAGTTTTTGATTTTTTTTTAATTTAGCTGATTTTTTTATTATTTTTTCTGTTTAATCTGTTACTTACTGTTAAAGAAAGATAAAGCAGTGGTATTTATTTATTATATAAATATTCTTTCAAAAATATATTGTTGGCTGTTTGTATGTGCGTGCTAATTAAGATAGCAAAAGTTTAATTAAACTATTAATTGCGTTCATTTTAAATTTATATTTATTTTATAAATACACTAGTGACTCGCCCCCGCTTCGCTTCGGTTTCGTCTTTAGACACTAACAAATCTACCCCAAGGAAACCGTACATTTTTCTGGGATGATATATAGCATATAGCCTTCCTCAAGAAACGAGCTATCTAATACAAAAAGAATTTTTCAAATCATATTAGTAGTTCCTGAAATGTGTGCGTTCAAACAAACAAACCCTCCCTCTTTATAATATTAGTATAGATGTGAAGTGTTTACGTTATTTGGTTTCGAATAAAATGAAACAGACATAACTTGAAAAAAAAATTGTATGTTTAGGGTTAATTTTATATGTAATATATTATTTATTCAATTTATTGGATAGTTACTGATTTATATAATTTATTTAGTTTAATAATATGAGTACATGTATTTTGCTATATATATATATTTTTATAAAGACAAAATTCGAATGACACTGTGATTTAGAATCGCTTTAGAATATATAAAAGTTGATAATAATAATATTTTATGTACTGTTATAATAATGTTAGTTTTAAATGGTTTAATAATTAATTAATAAACCTAATGTATTCATACAATAAATTAAAATAATAAATTTTATTATTTTAATTTATTATAATTATTTAATTTAAATATTAAGGCTATAATAAACCCAATTAATAAAGAACCTAATTTTTTTAACGTATTAAAAGTTATATCACGTTGTTTTTAAGTAATGTCCGATGTACATTTTATTTTTTAAATCTAGTTTCAAAGTCTCAGTGCAATTATGGCCTAACGCACATTTAAAAAAAGTGTTTTTTTTTTTTATAAAAGCAATATTATTTTTAACCGAGGTTCTATGTTCGTTTGTATTATTTTTAATATTTAATATGTGTTTATATTAAAAATGTAATATTTTATTGTCCATTTGCTTTTAAAATTTATAACGTATCAAAGTGTCACACATGTGGAACTACTTACATCAGCTTGCACTATATGTACAAGATATTTTCTTTTTATAATTTTTTAGAGTTAGGTCCCTTTTACACTGAGACCCTCATAATATAATTTGTTACAATTGTGCCGCTTTTCCTTTGTATTTTTCTATGGGTTTTCTCATACTTTGCCCATACTTAAGGATGTTTTTATTTCAAATTTCAATATATTTCATCATTTTCAATTTAATTTTTTGGATATGTATATGTTACATTATATCTACTAACTATGAACCGTTTTTTTTATTTAAAGCTTTATTTTTTAGGTCCTATTTTTTTTTTAAATTCACCACAGTTTTGTTTATTCTATTTTTTTTTTAAGTTTGCCAAACTGATTGTTCGTTTTTTTTTTCTTGATGTAGACGAAGTAGTTGTTCATGAATCGAAAGCAATATTAGATATAACATTTAAAATAGAATATAGAAATATTAGATCTACTTGGTTTTTAATATTTTCATTTCGACAAAATCGCTGTATTCTACATAGTCTTGTTTAGATTTAAGTACGCTCCACGTTATATACTAGCGAATCACCCTTGCTTCGCTCGGGTTGGTCCATAGGTACATTTTAATTTTTTTGTGCGGAACCCTAATTCCTTTTCTGAAAGAAATGTAGCCTAAGTTACTCCTTATAATATCAGCTATCAGCCAGTGAAAATCTTTTATTAACGTGTGGGACTCATCGGCAAAGCCAGTGTTGCCCACTAAAACCCAACGAACCTCGTCTTAATGGGGTGTCGCAGTCGGTAGTAGTAGAGAAATTAAGATAACGCTATTGTTTGATTCTTAATTGTACTTAGGGTTATTAGGCCAGCCTTTTATGACATTATTTTTAAAGTGAATTTTTTTTAGAATCGTTGTGATTTGAAACTCGATGAAACGAAAATGCGACGCGAGAAAAAGACGAACACATAAATATATTGCCTTACTTATTATAATTTATGGATTAAGCCGGCGAGAGAATAAGATGGAATACGTTGGAAATGAAAAATAATAAAATTAATTACTGAATAATATGTAATGTATATTTATGTCAAATAAAATGTAAAATAACTTTTCAACTTGGTAAAAATATTATACAAAAAAATAAACCTTATAATAGTTATCCTACTCCTGATACTCTATATTCATCTCACTCTCTCGTAGGTTACTTTTCTGAAGTTTCACTTCTACCGTGTGTGAATTACACACACACACACTTTTTTTTATTTTGAATATTTTCTAAGTTTAAAAATCCACAATATTATTCATTATTTTCAACCGGGGGCCCGTAATATCTAAGGGGCCCTGGGTTGCAGCCCAAAAAGCCTAAATATAGATCCGCCCCTGAAGTCCGGTCTAGACCAATTTATTTTTAAGTTATCTAAATGAATTTTAAGAATTTATGAACTGACTACATTCCCTTAGCTAGGAAATTGTTATTGTTAAATATTTACTTCTAAAATTAAATTATGAGAATATAATTTATTTGTTTTATTTTTCACATTATTTTTTTTATAATAATAATTTATGTACTGTTGTTAGTTTTAAATAGTTTAATTAATAAACCTAATATATAACTAGCGACTCACCCTCGCTCCGCTCGGGTTCGCCCCTAGTTACTTAAAAAATAGGGGGTGGGTGTAGAATGTTGAATAATACCAATATAAAAAAAACATTAAAATCGGTCCAGCCGTTTCGGAGGAGTGCGACCACGAACACTGACACGAGATATTTATATATTAGATTAAAATACATTAAAATAATAAATGATTATTATTTTAATTTATTATAATTACATAATTATTTTAAAATTAAACCTTTTTTTAAAAGAAAGATTAAAATAAAATTGAAGACCCTCAATATTAATTACTAAATTAAATTATTAATAAATAATGCTGATAAGAAAATAAATTTAGGAACCTAAAATATTAACATAGTCTTCAACCTTCACTGGCCTCGTTTTTAAACGAATTCATAAAGGAATAGTTGTTTATCTGTGTTATCAGTTCGCAAATTACATAAAATATTACTATAATAATAATTATTACTATAATATTATTATAAACTAGCGAACGTTTTAAATGTTAAAATAGATTTCTCAGGGATGAGATATTTTCCCGCAGTAAAAAGTATCCTATATGTTGACCCGGATAACCAGCTATCATCATACAAAGTTTTATTAAAATCTGTCCAGTGGTTTTCTCGTGATGCGTTCCTAGACAGACAAACGGACCGGCAGACAGACAAAAATTCTAGACTAGATTCGACCTCTAAAAAATATTTAATGTACAGATTCAGTTAGAATTTTATTATATGTAGGTATAGATTTATTTAGGAAGATTAAAGGCTATCACGTTATAACTTTTAGGATCGAAACGGTTATATATAAATGGGGGCAGTGCTAGCCCTCGCTTGCAAGCGCCTCTGCTTGCTTGCTTGTAACGCGCTCGCTTGGGTAACTGAGCGAAGCGGGTGCAAATCCCGGGTCTCACACCTGTGATATTTTCAAGATTTTTTAATTTATTATTTCCGCGAATTATTTCCAACATGATCACCACTTGCCTTACGATGAAGGAAAACATCGCGAGGAAACCTGCATGTCTCTGAGAACCTAGCAAGTTTTCGATAGACGTGTGCAGTTCGCCAACCCGCACTTGCCCGGCGTGGTGGACTATGGCCTTATTGGAGGGAAGCCCACCCCCAGCAGTGGGACGTTAAAAAGGGCTGAAAATATACATAAATAGACTTCGCGAGCAGTCACGGGATAGCTATTATATATTCATCTTCGTTCGTGATACTCTATGACATTAATGTATTGATTAGATAATTGAAGCTGTCGACAAAAGGGGTCTATCTATAAAACAGTTAATATTAAAAATGTATTTACTACTTAATGTTTATTTATTTTATTTAAAACACTTTTTGCACATAAAAAATACAATTAAAGAGTTGATTAAAGGCGACCTTATCACTTTATAAGGACAATATTTCAATATTTCTTATACATACAATATTTCTTACAGGCATCCGGTAGAAAAGAATAAAAATATAAGTGAAAAGAACGGAAAGGTGCAAGTCACTTAAATGTTGTTTTTATCAACTATATTTATAACCAGAGATTACCTTCTATAACGTTACAAACTCACAAACTTTACCTCTTTATAATATTAGTATAGATTAGCGACTCACCCTCGCTCCGCTCGGGCTCGTTTTAACGTTTGGTATAATAGATTTCTCAGAGATGAGATATTTCCGCAATAAAGGAAACTTATTTGTTGATTGTTGACCCAGATTACACCAGCTACGATCATACCAAATTTCATCAAAATCTGTCCAGTGGTTTTCTCGTGATGCGTTCCCAAACAGGCAGACAGACAGTCAGACAGACAAAAATTATAAAAATTATACCTAGATTCGGATGTCTATTTCAATAAGATTTTTCAAAAAATATTCCCTCCCCTCACCCTCCGAATTTTGCCGCCCTGGGCACTAGCCCCGAGAGCCCCTAGTGTAAATCCAGCGCTGTGTGAATTATTTAATATCATTTTTTTATATTGTGGGTTAAGCCACTTTGTCAGTTACTGACTAGTCTAAACAAGTTATATAACTAAACTACTGCGAGTTCAGTTCGATTGCGTACAATGGGGACGTTGATTAACGTTTTTATTCTGAGCTTTCTGGCTTCTACATTTTATGCGTAAGTTTTTGAACTATTTATAGTTTTTGCCTGTGACTCCTCTCGCGTGTTAGAACGGTATTGATGGCACCGGTTGGCGCCACTGGCGAGTGGTCCTATTATAGAAAACAAGTGATTTAAAATGTTTTAAATAAAATGTTGCCGTTTTATTCCCAAATAAATCGTTTTAAACGGTTGAAAACTCGTCTACACAAATAAAAGAAGTGCATTTTACACTTTATCGTGGGCATACGCGTAGTATATCAAGCATCTGGTAACCATAACACAAGCCTCGTAGCTTACCATGGAACTGGATGGTGCTGTGTGTTAATATCCAAACATATTTATTTATTTTATTTATTACACGAAAACTTAACTATGTAGGCCTTACATCTATATTCCTATCGCTGTTGTTGACAAAGTATTTGTTAATGTGGCAGGGCCATAAATTCAATATAACAACACAATTGTTAGCACGGTACTACTTTATCCGCATTTTTTTTAAATAATCTACACCTCTACTTCTACTTTTGTATGTTTGTAACAAATGAACTCAAAAACTACTGGACCGATATAGATGAAATTTGGTAAGAAAATAGTATGAGGCCCTGGAAAGGGACATAGGATATTTTTAGTCCGGAATTCATCGCTTAAGGGGGTGAAAATGAGGATGACAGTTTTTATGGAGAAACAACCTACATACCAGCGGGATTCGAACCCGCGACTGTTACAGCAAGGAGGATCACTACAAACTGAGCCAAACGTGTCGTCATTATGTCAATATGTCTTCAGGTCTCCCTTACAGCCTACATACGATACGATAGTGGTAGGCCTGGGGTCAGCTGGTGCCACAGCAGCATCTACTCTTGCCAAAGCCGGGAAGAGGGTCCTGGCTTTGGAGGCCCAAGACAGAATTGGGGGTAGAGTGAAGACTGTTCCATTCGGTGATGGTGTGGTGGAAGAAGGCGCGGAATGGTAACTATTCATCTAAGTTTTTAACACTTCATTTATTACCATATAAAGCTCTTTCCATAAGTTTTATATTTCTTCTTTTATTTTATTATATTAGTTTGACGTCGATGTCTGTCTGTGTGTGTGGCTGTCTGTGGTATCGTAGCTCTCAAACGGATGGACCGATTTCGATGCGGTTTTTTTCATTTGTTTGGTTAATATCGGTCCAGCAGTGTAAGAGTATCAGCTCTTTTCCAAGAAGATGTAAGGCATTTTGGCGTATGATTACTCGATTAAGTGCTTCACGCGTGCCAGTGTAATCGTTAAATGATAATATGCGTAGGAGTTTTTTTTTAGTTTTTAATTTATAATTATGCACAAGTTATACAGTAATTTATAATACCCAATGTAAAAAAAATGTAATGCAATAGAGTAGTAAATTTTTTAGTTAAATGCTTAAATTATCATTGTCATATCTATACCACAAACAAATCTAATAATTCTAATGAATATTTCTCGATATTGATTGTGACCAAATTAATATCAAATGATTTATTATATTCAATCAAACATCACGATGTACATATTATTATAAAAGAAAGTTCTCGCCGCGTCTGTCTGTCTGAAAACGCGATAAACTCAACAACTAATGAACAGATTTTCATACGATTTTCACTAATATATTATAGTGATTCATAAGAAAGGTTTAGGTGTATGATTCATTAAGGTTTTGTGTAAATTGGCTGAAATATGATTGTTGAAGTTGTCAGAAATAATCTCGCCGACACATACACCTATATGAAAATATTAAATCTAATATATAAAATTCTCGTGTCACAGTTTTCGTTGCCATACTCCTCCGAAACGGCTTGACCGATTTTGATGAAATTTTTTGTGCTTATCCGGTATCTATGAGAATCGGCCAACATCTATTTTTCATCCCCCTAAATGTTAGGGGTAGTCCACCCCTAAATTTTTATTTTTTAGACAAAATTTTTAATTTCTATTTTTTTATGATACAACATACAAAAATACATACAATCCTCAATTTTCACTAGGGACGAACCCGAGCGGAGCGAGGGTGAGTCGCTAGTATTATATATATATTAAATATTTCAGTTATATGAAAACAATGTATTACAGAATTATTGGTACCTAGGGGCGCACCCTTTTTTTTAACGTTGGGAAATGCATTTACGCACGAGGTGTGGAACTCGAGCGAAGCCAGGGTAAGTCGTTAGTGTATAATAAATGGTATTTTCAGGATCCATGGAACAGGAAACAGCCGTGTCTATGATAGCGCAGTTAAAAATAACATAACCGTATTTCCTCAAGACCCAAATTCCTTCGTGTATAATTCAGACGGTACACCCGGGAATACAAGTTTAATAAATGAGTTACTTGAACATAGCATGACAATTGCAGATAACCCGTCTGAAAAACCAGAAGCTCTCGGTAAATTTATATCTAGAAGGTAAGTAGGTATTAGCATTTATGATTCGACGTTTTAAGGCTTAGACAGATTTCTCAGAGATGAGATATTTTCCCGCAGCAAAAAGTATCATATATGTTGTCTCGGACAACTCGCTATAATCATACCAAATTTCATCAATATCTGTCCAGTGGGTTTCTCGTGATGCGGTCACAGACAGATAGACAGACAAAAATTCTAAAAACTATAGATTCAGCCTCTGTATCGATAATTATGACTATTTCTATGAGATTTTCCAAAAAATATTCAATGTAGGTACAGAATTAGGAACATACTAATATTATAAAGAGACAGAGTATGTTTGTTTGTTTGAATGCGCTAATTACAGGAACGACTAATCTGATATAAAAAAAATCTTTTTGCTAATGCAAATCTAATGGCAGCCCATTTATTGAGGAAGGCTATAGGCTATCATTTAATATGTAGGTATATAGTCTATCTATCGTTATAACGTACATAGGGACGAATCCTTAAAACTAAAGACATTTTATTTCATTATTTTAGCATGTTAGATTATTTAAAGGAGAAATATCCAAACTTATCAGAAAATAAGGAGTTCGTAAGTGAATTTTTCGACTTACTAAATATATTTGTGAGTAACGACGTGGCGTCGAACGACTGGAACGATATAAGTGCTCAGTCGCACTACAGGGGTGTGGGGGGTAACTTGTACACGACGTGGCATCGACATGGATATAAAACCTTCTTTGATATTGTACTGGTGAGTTTTAAAACTGTTTTTAACCGACTTTCAAAAAGGAGGAGGTTCTCAATTCATCAGAATCTCTTTTTTTATGTATGTTCATCGATTACTCGAAGACGCCTGAGCCGATTTGGATAAAAAAAAATTGTTTTAAAGGGTATATTCCCAGGTGGTCCTTTATAACATTTTTTTGAATAAATTGTTTAATCGAATACGTTATTAAAAAAGTTTCTTCTTACAAATTACGTGCTTATTACGTCTACACTATTATGTGTTCAACTCCTTTTAACGTCCCACTGCTGGGGGTGGGCCTCCCTTCAATAAGAGGGGGATCAGGCCATAGTCCACCACGCCGGGCAAGTGCGGGTTGGCGGACTTCACATGTCTTTCGAAAACTTGCTAAGTTCTCTCAGACGTGCAGGTTTCCTCACGATGTTTTCCTTGTTATGGAAATATGTATTGTTCATAAAAAAGGATGTTTACTATTCGTTAAAGGTATGTTTATCTTTTGTAATCACATAGTTAGGGAAAGAAATGTATGGAAATGTTCTAAATATGTTGTAACTTAGTCTCAATAACTTTTTACTCCTACGTTTCCTTAAAATATTTTTTATATATTTGTACTCTCTATCACCTCTCCTATCCAAAAATACCACCCACTCCTCCAGGGGCCGCGTCCCATAAACTAAACTGCAGCCCGAATTTACACAGAAGAAGGGTTCCGTACCACTGTACATGTAGATACGTTTTATTAATATGAATTTACTCTATGTATGTTATATATTATAGTATATTAACTTCGATGATCCATTACGAACGTTAAAAAAATGTTTCTTATATTATTATTTTTATTTACTTTTATTATTTGTTGGTTTAGCGGCAATAGAAATACGTACTCTTTGAAAATTTCAACTCTACCTACTACGGTTTATGAGATACAGCCCTCTGACGGACGGACGGACAGCGAAGGCTTAGTAATAGGTTCCGTTGACACCCTTTGGGTAAGGAACCCGAAAAATGAGTATATTTATTTTTTGTTTTTTTAATTATTTACAGAACACTTACAACAACGGCACAGGTTGGCCTACTTTAGATATAAAACTAAATAAGGAAGTCACTCTAATAAAATGGCCGAAAAACTCCACCGGAAATGTCGAAGTGCTGTGCAAAGATGGCGACGTGTTTAAAGCTAATAATGTTATTGTTACCGTCTCACTTGGTGTTCTGAAAGAGAGGTAAGATTTAAGATTTAAGATGAAGTGTATGAATACACTCGGACACTCCAACACTGCGACACTCATACACTACAAGCCCCAGGAGATCTCTTACCATTTACTTCAACCCTCTGTGTTCTATTATTTAAGTACGAATTCAGAGTTAGAGTGCCTTATTTCTAATACCATATTGATGCAGTTTCCTGATCAGCGTCTCATAATGCACACAATCAAATGCCTTGGATTTGTCACAGAATATCCCAAGTGCGTCTTGTGACCTTTTCCAAGCCTTACAAATATTTTTTACTAGCTCAACACTAGCAAATGGGCTTTCGTAAATCCAAACTGTTTCTTATGAAGTAGATTGTGTGCATTGAAATAGTACAGTCAAATAAGGTTTAAAATCTAAATGTTGGCACTCAACTTTGCAATTTTGATATAATTTAGTTTTAATGATACAAAAACAATGTGTAAAGGTTTTCGTGTCTGCAACCGCCGGCAAGAGTTGAACAAAATTGTTAAAAGTGTTTTTTCGCAATTATTTGAAAACGGTAAAGATAAGACAAAAATGTTTTACAGACAAGATTAAAAAGTGAAACACCGCCAACTTCCCAACTCCGGGCTGTTACTGACGCTTGCTAAACAGAAAGAGTTAATAACTAAACTTGACCCGACCCGGGGCTCGAACCAGGACCGCCGGATGTGCAGTCGTACTTGCTAGCCACTACTCATACTGTTCTTTGTTTTTGGCCAACACTACCGCGTAAATGGAGGCAAATTCAAACCTTAGATGAATTATGGGAAATTCATCATATGTGATATATTATTTATTGGATTTCAGATATTCCACTCTAATTTCCCCTCCAATACCACAGAGTAAGATAACAGCTATAGAAAAAATCCCTTTCGGGCTTATAGGCAAAATTATATTGTCTTTTCCGAAAAGATGGATACTTAATGATAATTACATTTTATTTTATTTGCCTGGAGATAAAAGTAAAATAAACGATACATGGCTCACGAAAATACGAGATATTTCAACACCAAGCGGATCTTCCAATACTATTACTCTGTGGACGTCAGGAGATGTTACTAAAATGGTGAGTGTATATAGAAAAGGGAAGCCCACCCTCAGCAGTGCGCAAATACTCATTTATTTGAAAAGCTGAAATAAACATTTTAAAATATCTAATGTACTTATACTAATATTAAAAATAAAGTATTTTTTTGTTTGTTTTTTTGTACTGAATAGGCTCCGAAGCTACTGAACCAATTAAGATGAAATTTGGTATGAAGATAGAGACCTTGGAAAGGACATAGTATACTTTTTATCCCGGAAATCATCTCTTAAGAGGGTGAAAATAGGGATTAAAGTTTGTATGGGGACGAAGTCGAGCGGAGCGAGGGTCAATCGCTAGTTTGTTTATAATATTCTAGTACTTATAAAATAATCGTCTTTTAATATGCGTTAAAAATGATTTTTATTTGAAATTGTAGGTAGAAAAGTTACCAGAAGACGTCGTGAAGAGGAAAGTGATGGGACTCTTGAGACAGTTTCTTGGCAAAGACATGACCGTGCCAGAGCCCACTGGTATAATAATGTAAGTTATTAATCAATAATGTATCTTTAAAAACATTATAAGAAAATATAAGGAAATAATCCTAAAAAATTATTAAATAAAATAAAAAAAAAAAGTGAAATAAAAATAAAAGTAGAACCATTAAATCTTTTAGGACCTAAAAGAGTTTTAAATTCATTATGTAATTTATTTGAAATAAAATTTCAAATAATAAAGTGGTTGAAGAGTTCCACTTTCCACTTCCTGGCTGCATCATCAGATCAGCCTGATGGTGTCATTAGTTGTATTGTATTCAGCACTTTTTAACGTCCCACTGCTGGGCGTGGGCCTCTCTTCAATATGAGGATCAGGTCATAGTCCACTACACTGTGTGTCCTGTGTCCACATGTCTTTCGAAAACTTGCTAGGTTCTCTCAGACATGCTGGTTTCCTCACAATATTTTCCTTCACCGTAAGACAATTGGTGACCATGTTGGAAATTATTCGCACTTGAGAACCCGGGATTTGAATTTTGAACCCGCTTCACTCAGGTTCCCAAGCGAGCGCGTTACCACTGAGCTACCAATGTATTTAAATATATATATACCTATCCATCCAGTCCACAAGTTTTACCTTCATTTTAAACATATTTATTAACTATTTACAGATCAAAATGGTTCTCAAATCCCTTCACACGTGGTACCTACACTTATGACAGTTTGTCGGTGCACGAGTATCCGGACGCGCGGGCGACTCTCGGGGAACCCCTCGTCGACGAGGCGGGGGTTCCCAAGGTGTTATTCGCAGGGGAAGCCACGGAATTGACTCACTTCGCTACCGTCCATGGCGCGAGCGAGACCGGTTATAGAGAAGCTATGAGGTTGTTGAATTTAAATAAGCAATAGAAAGAAATTTTTCTATAAATATAATAAAACTGTAGCGGTCAAATTTCTGTACATAAAAAAAATGCTAAAAACCGAGTCAGGGGGATGTAAGAAGAGAAATAAAACAAATGCAGTTTTTTTTCAATTTTTTTGTTTCTCTGTCTGTCTGTTTGTACGCGCTAATCTTCGAAATTGTTAGACCGATTTAATTGAAATTTTGCATGGTGATAACTTATATCCCCGGTCAACATTTTAGATACTTTTTATCCCGAAAAATTAAAGTCTCGTGGGATAGTTGAAAAACTATAGTAACTAATACAGCTTAGTACACAAAAATTACTGATTGGATATTAATGAAACTTTACAATAATATAGTTCATACATCAGAATAATAAATAGGCTTCTTTTTATTACGAAAAAATGTGCGGTTCTCGTGGGATAGATTTGTTTTTGTTTTTGTGAGCTTGAAATAAATTTATTTTTGTAGGATTTTTTTGTTTTATTTCAATTATCTTGTTAATTTAATGGCTTCAAAGCGTGCCAATAGAGCACAGATTACTTTAGCAATGTCACGTGGCATGGAGAGGACACGAAGATTGGTCGGTAAAATAAGATTGTGTTGTACTGTGTGTGACATCGTAGCTCCAGAACGGATGACCCGATTTTGATTTCGTTTGTTTTTGTTTGAAAGATGAATAAGCCAGGAGTGTTCTTAGCTATGTTTGATGAAAGTCGGTCCAAGATGGTCGTTTTTTTAAAGAATTTAATTAATAATAATAAAATTTCAAAAAAGTCTAGAGGTCTACTAAACTTATTTTTATGTATTACAAAGCACTTAAGCATTAATTTTTATAGCGCACATATTTATAATATTTTTTGCAGATCTCAAAAAAAATTGTAAGCCTCTTACTTTTCGTGCCTACTTTTAATTTAGTTTTGTTGATTAATTTTGTGTATATATACAAATACTAGCGACTCACTCTCACTTCGCTCGGGTTCGTGAGTTTTATATGCCTTTGCCTTATTTGAGAAATGATTGATTCCCCATACAAACTTCCACCCCCTTTTCACACTCTTAAGGGATGATTTCCGGGATAAAAACTATCCTATGTCCTTCCCAGGGTCTTAAACTATCTACATACCAAATTTCATCAAAATCGATTCACCCGATTAAGCTTGAAAAAGTAACAGACAGACAGTTACTTCCGCATTTATAATATTAGTATGGATTATTTCATAATTTAGAGTTAATTTATTTATGAAGTCGATTTAATTTTTTCGTATTATTTAAAAAGAAAGTATCTTACTAACTTACTGGAATAAGATACTTTATCCATCGAGATTATACCCAAAAGCAAATAAAATAAACACTCTCATTTTACAACATTTATATGTATGGAATAAATTAAAAAAAAAAGAAAACACCAAAATATATAAATCTGTATTTTAATTAAAATATTGGACAGTTCATTCCACGTCAAATAAAAACTAACGATTTATTTTATAACATCCCATATTTTAAAATCGATTAATTTGACGCAGAATGAACCATTTAAACTAAATATTACACATTATACAACTAAAAACATGAAAAAATAATATTTTTTATTTTAAATTTGCATCGAACTCCATACCCATAATAAACTAAATCTTATCGTCGGTACGAAGGCAAAAACCACAAAGTTAAATTTGGACAAAAATTAACTTACACCATTTTGCTTTTGGTACATAGCAAAAATAAATATATTAAAAAAAATTGAATGAATATAAAACATTTTCAAGCATTTTCTTAGTATTTATATTAAATAATAAGACGATAAAAATAAGATATACATAATTTGTCATAACTCGACCAGACCAAAAAAGTACTAGATACACAATCTGCGACAAAAATGTCCTCATCGAATGAGCGCTCATTTGAACATTTGAGCGCGCTTTTAATCTTTTGTTTTTGTGAAAACAAGTTTAAGCATTGCATATAAGGTTCAATTAACACTGTTGTATATTTATTTCAACTAGAACAATTACCTAAACACAATCGGTGACAGTTTTAAGACAACTTTTGCATGGGATTCTGTATCTAGTAGTTTTTTTTTTTAGATAAAAAAAAACCAGTCACGAGGACTGCCGACAGAAGTGAAAACTTAAAACTGATCTTAAACTGAAAACTTTAGAACTTTCACATTTATCTGGTTTCGATATCTATAGGCACTCTGAGTGTTAGCGTTAACACGTCACGTGACCATGTCGATGACGACTTACATGGATTTACTCCCCATACAAATAAACCTGCCTATACAAGTTTTCGCTTCAAAAATATAATGGACTTAGTGATTTCTACCTTTGCACTTACAATATATTACTATTATATAATAATAGATACATTCACACATGGACCGACATGTTTTATATATTTTAATTGAATGGACCATTATGTGGTCCATTTAAAAAAAAATACAATTTTGTGCATTTCATAGAATAATTTTGATGAAGCTCATTTAAATTAAATCTGAATAACAAAGAAAATCCTATCACAATCTGTTCAACCGATATTTAGGATATTTACATTTTTTTTATATAGATTATTATGTATAGACGTTGTAAATGACTTATTAATAATAGGGAATATGCGTGTTTTAAACAATGGTTAATTTCTTTTAATAATGTTATTGCTTTTGAATTAAGCCTTTATCAAATATTTTTTAATGTACTTTCTTTTTGATTAAGAAAATAATTATTAAAAAGTGTAAATATAGGTGGGAAATTCAAAGTAGTATAAACGCACACCATTGGTCAGACCGAGTGTGACGTCAGAGTATATCATAACGGGGCCAGTGTTGCCAATTTAGCGATTTTATCGCTACAAATCATTTTTAGCAACGAAATCGTTAAATTGGCAACACTAATTGTTATTAGACTGTGACGTCACGCAAAGCGTGCGAAATGGCGTGCGTCTAAAGTATCCGTCTCGGTATGATATTTAAAAAATATATATATATTAAATTTTACTTTCTAAGAGCTGGATATTTTTTATACAATTATATAACGACGTAAGCTATTGTATAAAAAATAATCAAAAAAAATCACGCATATTCCCTAGTATTACAACAAAAACTGTTCAAAATGTCAATAATATTTTTTTAAATAGATTTAATCGGTCCAAAACTAACTTGACCATTGACTGTAAGAAATTGTATGGACCATACAAATTCATCCAACCAAATTCATTAATTCATACAATTTTCCTTTCATCTTCACCTATTTGCGCGTCCAATTCATCCATTAGCTTTTTATCATCCATTTCTGAATCACTGATATCTTCTAAATCGTCCATGTTGAATTTGTCTTCAACATTTGCTTCTCCGTTCATATAAGTTTTATCGTTCTGAGCGCCCTTTTCGTTATCTGTGTCCGATGCTATTTCTGGTGTTTTATCATCTGTGCTTTCTGACGTATTGGTGATGTTATTAACATCATTTTTGTCATTAATATCTGTCATCGTGACATCTCCAACTTCATTTTTATCCGTGCTGTCTGTCATTGTGACATTTTCCACATCATTTTTATTATCTGTGCTATCTTTATTATCTGTATTTTCTTCCTCGTCCTCCATTTTTAAACTTTGTGATAGCAACGTATCCTCACTTTTATTATCTATACTGTTTTCATAATTTTCTTTTAATTCTACTTTAGTATCATTCGATTGATGAATATTGGTAACTTCTTTATCAACGTTTACATCATCACTTTGTTCGTTGTCATTATTTTTATCATTGGATTCATTATCTGTTATCATTTCTCTTGAACTTACTTCAGTCTCATTGAACTTATCTAGACTATACTTTTCATTAATATCATCATTTTGTACATTATTATCATCATTTTTAGAATTTTCATTATTTTCTATTGATTCTTCAATCTTATCATTAATATGTTTGCTCTCATTACTTTCTATTGTTTTGTTAATTTCGCTTTCTTCATTATTTATATCGTTAATTTCACTTTTCTTATTTTCATCATTTTCTTTATTTATATCGTCATCTTTCATAGGGTTTTCACTTTCACTACAAACTGTATCGTCTTTATTTCTTGCATTGTCATTATTTTCAATAATTTCATTACCTACATGTGCATCATTAACGCTGTCATTATTCTCTTTTGATTCATTAACGTTAACTTTATCATTATTTTTGTCATTATTTTGTGTATCACCAAACAACATGTCAAAATCATCATTAGTGACCGTAGGAGCTTTATCGTCACCAAATAATGAATCATTATCCTCGCTCTTATCCTTCGAAACATCGATAGTATCGTCCAATCTATCGATTAAGCTATCGATTCCGCGACACATATCAGAATCGAAGTCACTAGCATTCAAAATCGAGTCAAACGCTTTCTCAGCTTTGACTTTACGTCGTTTTTTGGGGACTTTTCCTAATAATTTAGGAGAGAAGATATTTTTTAGCGCGATCGACGTCAGCGAGTCTACTTTTTTAAGAATATTCTGATCATCTACATCGGAAGCAGTATCTTCGGAATCCCAGTGAATATATTTGTCTGCGTCAAATGCTTCTTTTATTTCGTCATTTATATCGACCATGTAACTCGGTTCCGATTTTATTCTTACACGAGATATGTATGGATATATACATTCACTATCCAAACCATAATCCTGAAAAAAAAAACAATTATAAAATAAATATAACTTAAATACATGTCTGTCCGTCCGTCTACCTGTTTTCCAGTTCAAAATATGTCAATTTTTTTCGGGCAATTTGCTTTGATGATAATGCAATGTATGTGTCACTGAACTCCTTCTAAATTACTAGATCGATTTTGATGAAATTTTTTGTGTGTTTGAGTGGATTTTTGGATGGTTTAGTTTCACAATTGGACCTGGGTAGGTGATGTTGAAGTCGGGGTCTAGGATTTTCATAAATACCATATTCGGGCAGGACAATATCTATCGGGTCCGTTAGTAGATTATATAATACCAGCGACTCACCCTCGTTTCGCTCGGGTTCGTCCCTAGGTACATTTGAATTTTTTTGAGCGAAACCTAATATTTTTCTAAAATAAAAATTGCCTAAGTTATTCCTTATAACAGCAGCTATCTGCCAGAGAAACTCTCGTTAAAATCAGTCTAGCTGTTTCGGAGATTAGCCATAAGAAACGGACATACAAACAAAAAATTTGAAAGTGTATTTTTCATATACACATGTACTGTATATAATTTCATATGCATTCAGTAAAAAGCTGTTATTTTGACATTACAAACAGACACTACAATTTTATTTTTATGATAATGATGATCAATGATCAATTAGGGCCGATCCATAATATCGTGCCAATCACAGTTTGTTTTCGGTTCAATATCGTTCAGGTATATATTTATATTATATTTTATACAAGAAACATTGCTGGAGTGCATTGTATGCATTTATTGTTTAGTGTATAAAAAACTTTACCAAACCAGTATCAGATCGAGAACGAACCGTGATCAGCACTATAGTGTGTATCGGGCCTTAGGATTCCGTGACCAAAAAAATCGGGAATCGCTGATAGCCTATTTATTTAAGAAAGTTATCTATTGAAATATTGTAAAGAGGAAAAATTAGTTTTTTTGTTTGTATCAAATAGGCTCCGAAACAACTACTGAACAGATTTATATGAAATTTTGTATGAAGATAGTTTAACACCCTGGGAAGGACATAGGAGTTTTCATCCCAGAAATCATCCCTTAAAGGGGTGAAAGTTTGTGCGTGGAAGCAGCCTAGTAGATTATATAATAGCTAGGCAATAAAATAGAAATACTCACATAAGGCACTTTTGAGACATCATAGTGACCGTTTACAGGACTTTCTAGTATCGGATCGCATCTCGATATTCTTATCTGCAAGGGTTTCACTTTCCTCAACAGCGCTGGACTTATGGTTGTCGCTGAAATAGAAACAAAACTATTAGAAAAAACAATTAATATGGAAAAATATATTAAAATTCTCTATTTACCCGACAGTGGCAGAAGGAGGGTTATGTTTTCGAGTGTTATTGTATGTATGTATGTTAGACATGTACCGACTAGACGGCCATTACTTTATTTATATTACTATTCTTAAAAAAAAAGAGAAATTATCATTGTTGTTAATGAAAAATATTATTTTCATTAAATTTGATTTTGTAATGTTGTGGGTAGGCTTTCTGTAACAGCTATATAATGCCTTTGACACGTCTAAAACCTTAGTCTCTCCCGTGACCATGTGCGCTATAAAGTATTCGAAACCTTGGTTCCCGACCAAAAATCTAAATAAATCCGCGAAAACATCCGAAAAGATAGTTTTATTTAAAATGAGTGAGTATGTATGTTTAAAACCTGCATGTCTGACAGAACCTAGTCTCAGAGTCCGCACTTGGCCAGCCTGGTGGACTATGGCATGATCGCCATCACATACGGAGGCCCACGCTCAGCGGCGGAACGATAAATTGTTATTTTATAAATTAAGTACCTTTTTTCTTCTGACCGCAATAATTCTTATGCGTTGTTATTGCTTTATTAGATGGAAAGTTCCGACCGCATATATCGCAATTCACTGAAACAAAATGAATAGTCATTATTAACATTACTATTTTTATTCAACAAAAACAAATCTATCCCACGGGAACCGTAATAAAAAGTAACCTCCGTGCTATTCCAGACTATAATCTATTTCTGTGCCAAATTTCATACAAATCTGTTCAGCTGTTCTGGCGTGATTGATTAACAAACATCCAAACATCCTCACAAACTTACACATTTATAATATTAGTATGGATTTTATTTAAAACTAGCGATTCGCTTGCTCGGGTATGTAACTGTTTTATTTATGAACCGATTGAAATAAAACAAACACTAAATGTTAAGTGAAGCTTACCACAATGTATTAGTGAAAATCAATTAGCGCACACAAACAGACAAAAATTCTAAAAATCATTATTTTGGGTTGTATTCGTTAATAAAGACCCCCAAACAATAGTTTTTCTCAAATATTTGGGTAAATCCATTGATCAAAAAAGTACTAGATACACAATCAGCGACAAAAAATGTTCTCACCTAATGAGCGCTCATTTGAACATTTGAGCGCGCTTTTAATTAATTTTTTTATGAAAACAACTGTAAGAATTACATTTCAGGTTCAATTTACAATGTTGTATATTTATTTCAACTAGAACAATTACCCAAACACAATCGGTGACAGTTTTAAGAGAACTTTTGCATGGGATTGTGTATCTAGTACTTTTTTGATCGATGAGTAAATCTAACAAAGTATCACGCACCTCCTTTTGTGACACATGTATGTATATCAAGTAGATGTTTACTCGAGAATGTCTTTTTACAATTGACACATTCAACATCTCTACTCCGTTTGCTTGGTTTTCGGTCTGGAGGTCTGAAATAGACATACATTATAATATATTATTATAATAAATATTTTTGTCTTCCAGTCCTTTTTAACTTCCCACTGCTGAGTATGGGCCTCCAGTTAATATGATGGGGGATCAGGCCATAATCCACCACGCGGGCCGAGTGCGGGCGGACTGAGCATGTCTGCCGACAACTTGCTATCTTCTCTCAGACATGCAGGTTTCCTCACGATGTTCTCCTTCACCGTAGGACGTAGTCATCATGTTAGAAACGATTCGTAGATGAGAATATCAGAGCGAGTCCCGGGATTTAAACCCGTCTTACTCAGTTTCCCGAACAAGCATTACCACTGAGCTACCACTGACAAACAAACACTAAACTACTCAATAAATAAATATGTTGGTACATTAACACACAGAACCATCTAGTTCCATGGTAAGCTACGAGGCTTGTGTTATGGATACCAGATAGTTGACAGTTAGTTGACACATATATAACTTTAAATACATACAAAAAATTATAAATATAAAATACCCACGACTGGAGTATAAACATTCGTGCTCATCACACAAATGAATAACCTCAGCGGGACTCGAACCCGCGACCGTTGGCACAGCAAGTACGTTGTCAGTGCAAACTGAGCCAAACGTTTCTATAATAAAGTAATAAAACAATACTCACTTGTTTTTTGCATGAACTCTCATATGTATGTTGTAAGAGTGATGGCTCTTATATTGGATCTTGCATATTTTACATTTAAATTCGGCATTTCCTTGGTTTTTGTTCACTCGGGGTGGAGATTTCACAACTATCCTGAAAACAATAAGAAAAAATCGGTGGTAGCACATGGACAGACAGACAGACAGACAGACAAGGGAGTGATCTTAAAGGGGTTCCCTTTTTTACCTTTAGAAGTATGGAACCCTAAAAATCAAGCGCAAGTCGTATTCACACTCGAAAGGTTCTGTACAATTGTACTTGTACGTTTTATTAATATGACTTTTATTCTATGTATGTAGTTTATTAACTTCGATGATCGATTGTGAATGTTAAAAAAATATTTGTTTTTTTATTTATTTTTATTATTTGTATTATAGCGGCAATAGATATGCATAATCTGTGAAAATTTCACCTCCCTACCTATTACGGTTCATGAGATACAGCCCTCTGACATACGGACAGACAGCGGAGGTCAGTAATAGGGTTCTGTTGGCACCCTTCGAGTACAGAACCCTAAAAATGTGTGCGTGCATGTAACTTTAACGCGCGATTAAAGTAAAACTTCTTTGGCGGTGTGGCAGATACCGCAATTACATTGAAACAAATCTATATATAAATACAATAATTTTTAATAATAAATATTCATTTTTAAAAATAATAATTATTATAAAAATATAAATATAATATATATATTTTTTAATTATCTTACTAATATTATAATTGTGAAAGTATAGAGGTTTGGATGGATGTTTGTTTGTTAACTCAATCACGCCAGAACGGCTGAACGGATCTGGATGAAATTTGGTACAGAGATAGATTATAGTCTGGAATAGTACATAGATTACTTTTAATCCCGGAAAAATGTACGGTTCCCGTGTGATAGATTTATTTCTTATTTTCAAGAAGCAAATCCTAGCACAGCGAAGAACAGAAAAAAAATACTCACTGGACTTTCTTAGTCGACTCCTTCTTCAATGACTCCCTCTCTTTCGAACCTCTCAATCTTGGCGTCAAGACGGTACTCTCATCAGTCTGCAAGGAGAAAACATATTGGTTAATAATACATCTAAATAAGAATGGAAAAATGTTGAAAGTACTAGATTTAATAAAAAAGTTATCAATATATAAATATCGAGGTGCGTATGTATGTTCCCTATGGACTCCAAAACGGCTAGAGCGATTTTGATGCAATTTTCAGGCAATCTTCAGATTAGGTCAGTTCACTGTAGTTTGGTAGCGATGGGAAATTGGCACGCGGGTAAAGCCGTGGGTCTTATATATTATTTAAGTTTTAAATTTAAGATTTATAAGGTTGAATGCCTTATACATTATAATAATAAAAAAAAATCAATAACTTTTCGTTATTATCAAAAGTTATGTTAAAAATATTCTCATTGTTTCTAATATTTATATGTTTCTAATCATACTAATATTATAAATGTGAAAGTTTGTGAGTATGGATGTTTATTACTTCTTTCAGGCCAGAACGCTGAACAGATCTGGATGAAATTTGGCACAGTGATATACTATACACTGGAATAACACATAAGCTACTTTTTATCCCGTAAAAATGTACGGTTACTGTGGGATAGGTTTGTTTTTGTTTTATATATAAAACTCTTTTCTGTTGACTCTCCAACTTTCGTGCCCATTTTCACTCCTCATGATTACCGGGATAAAAACTATCCTATGTCCTTCCCAGGTTCTCAAACTATCTTCTTACCATATTTAATCTAAATCGGTCCAGTTGTTTCAGAACTTAGGGGGTGTCCATTAATCACGTGATCTTTTTTTAGCATTTTTTAACCCCCCCTCCCCCATTGGTGATACGTAGTGAGGTTTAAGACCACCCCCCCTCCCCCTTCTCAACATCACGTGTATTTTTAGTACCTACAACGAATCTTAAAATTTTCTGAATATTATCTTAATTTAAATACAGGTATAAACTATAATCTTATTTTATTCTGAAATTAAGGACCATAATAAAAATGTCTACACCAGGTTGCAAGTTTTTTTTATTGCCATAACAATGATAATAAACGAAGAGTGTAATCATAGGAAAAACATGTATTGTACTAATACATGAATATATTTAATGTATATTGTCCTCGAACCACGGATTAGCAAGACATTCTTCAACACTAACAACTGGATAAGCGTCTTGCAGGTGTTTGACGAAAAAATAAATACACGAGATATCTTACTACACCCCCCCTCCCCCTTGTGTTATTTTCGTGATTTTTATCAAACCCCTCCCCCCCTTTCAAGCCTCACGTGATTAATGGACAACCCCTTATTCGGTACAAGCAAAGAAACAAAAAAATCTTTCCTTATTATAATATAAACAATGTCTGTGCCAAAACAACATCTGCCTATGATCCTTTAGTATAATCATTATAATAATGTAAAAAAAAATCAAATGCTTGACCAACTATATTATATTAAGTAACTCGTCAAAACAAAACAAAAGTTTTTTATAGTGCCCATAGAAGAGTTTCACTATCAAACCAGATACAAATAATACTAAAAAAAATACCTCATTCTTTTTTAATATAGACTTGGGCAGTGGCATCGGTGTCCTTTTGGATCTCTGGAAAAAAAAACAAAAATCATATTAGAACCTTAACTTAGAGTATGTTTTTTAATCTCAGAGACTAAATTGACACATGCAAATGTCAAATTTACAAATAATGTTGCCAGCTCTTATGTGCAGTGTTGTACCTACTATACCGATTTGTTGAATCGTAACTTTTTATCTTTATTAGACCATTCCCGCACGCAAAATAGGCGCGCAGACGTCGAGTTGCGGAAACAAGCCCGTTTTATACCATAGACCATTCCCTTCAACATTTTATATTCCAAAGTGTATCATTAAAATTCACATTATTAATTTTAAATAATTAAATATCATGTTTATTAATTTTAAAACATTAAACATCATTAAAATTCGCCATTTAAATTTACATTATTAATTTTGAATTATTACATTTTAAATAAGTACCTACACATTATTTCAGGATAACTTATTATAAAAAAACAATACTTGATTTTATTAACGTTAACTTTCGATAGTGGCACATCACTATTTATGAATTACAAAAAAACTGGCAACCCACGTAATGTCAGTTATGTCTCCAAAATAAAAAAAACAGTCTATAGTATATTATTAACTAGCGACTAACCCTTGCTTCACTCGGATGAATTATTAAGTGCCTTACAAATGTTGAGAAATGTAATAACGCATACCACCTGCATACAAATATAGGTGGTTATGTGTTTGTTTGTTTGAACTAGCCACTACCCAAGGGAGCGGAGCAGTAATCATAACTGTCAGAAAAATGGTCACACTTCCATACATTATTGTAAAACCGATGTTTATAATAAGTTTAAGTGCTTTAAGCTCAGAAGCTTTGGTCAAATACTCATTGTGTAGAAGGTAGGTTAGGCAACCCACGTAATGTCAGTTATGTCTCCAAAATAAAAAAAACAGTCTATAGTATATTATTAACTAGCGACTAACCCTTGCTTCACTCGGATGAATTATTAAGTGCCTTACAAATGTTGAGAAATGTAATAACGCATACCACCTGCATACAAATATAGGTGGTTATGTGTTTGTTTGTTTGAACTAGCCACTACCCAAGGGAGCGGAGCAGTAATCATAACTGTCAGAAAAATGGTCACACTTCCATACATTATTGTAAAACCGATGTTTATAATAACTTTAAGTGCTTTAAGCTCAGAAGCTTTGGTCAAATACTCATTGTGTAGAAGGTAGGTATATGAAACAGACAAATATGTATTGTAATCAAATTTAACGCGGGTAAAACCGCGGGGGCACAGCTTGTTATTATATATATCATTACTAGCGACTCGCCCTCGCTTCGACAAAAACATATCTATCCCACGGGAACCATACACTTTTCCGGGATGATATTTATAGCCTATAGCCTTTCTCAATAAACGGGCTATCTAATGCGAAAAGAATGTTGCAAATGGGATTACTAGTTCCTGAGATTAGCCCATTCAAACAAACAAACTCTGCCTCTTTATAATATTATATTATAGATTGTTTGGTTTCATGTTTAGTGGATCCAATAATTACCTGTAAGTTGCCCAGTGATACATCATCATCATGACTCCTCTTGGTCCCTCGTAATCTAGGAGGACTGGGCTGTTTGCTCCGGAGAGATCTCGGTTGAATCCTATCCTTCCCCCTCGTCTCTTTTCTTGCTGGTAATGTTACCTGTAATTGAAATAAAAAAAAAATAAGCATTTCATATGAATAACAATTTCATATATTTTTGTTACTGGATAAAGTAGATTTCAGGACAAACTGGCTGGGCCAAACCGGTTCATCTAAATTGTATCAGGATATACTAGTTTAGCGCAAGACATCTAGTTTGACCTAAATACTTTAGTCTGAACTAGTTTGGCCTAGGCCAAACTGATTGAAATAACATAGCACTTATGATATTGGGCGTTCTGGGTTTGAAATATTGAAAAATACCTAACGAGACCGAGCCAGGCTACGCTTCGCTCCCGCCTTAGCCTTCTTAACCTACGTTTTCTAAGTCGGGCAAGTCACATAATAATACCACCACCCACTCCTCCGATGGCCACCGTCCATATACTAAAGAGCCGAATAATAAACTCAAAATCACTTCGGCATATTCAGTATCAATATTTAATATCTTGTCAGGATAGTTTAATCCTCACACACTTAAGATGAACCGGTTAGACCCATAACTTATTCCATATCATTTATTAAGTTTCATTGACCAACTTCAAAAACAAGATGTTACTTTACTCAGATTTAAGTTTTATTTGTTAACAAAAAGAAATCTGTTCTGTGGGCGCAGTACATTTTTCCGGGATAAAAATAGCCCTTGTGTTATTCTGATGCATAAGCTGTATTATTGTAAACTGCCTCGGTGGTGTAGTGGCTAGCATGTACGGCTGCACACCCGGAGGTCCTGGGTTCGAGTCCCGGGTCGGGCCAAGTTTAGTTATTGAGTCTTCCTGTATAGTAAGTCTCAGTAACAGCCCGGAGTTGGGAAGTTGGCGGTGTTTCACCCCCGTGCCACGGAGAGCACGTAAAGCCGTCGGTCCTGCGCCGACACTCTCACCGGTCGTGTCGAGTGGTCGTCCCACCGGAGTATGAGAGTGATAGGAATAGAGAGTGCACGTTGTGTCTGCGCGTACACTTGAGCACTATAATATCTCCTGCGCAGTTGGCTAATCTCATTGAGATTGGCCGCCGTGGCCGGAATCGGCTAGGAGAACATCATTATTGTAAAGTATCATTAAAATCTATTCAGTAGTTTTTGCGTGAAAGATCAACAAACATCCATATATTTATACATCCAGCATCCAGACACCCATACATCCTCACAAACTTTCGGATTTATAATATTAGTAGGATATATATTATATAGGTTATAATTAATAAAAATTACAATTCTTGATAAAATAGAGGTGATAATTTAAAGCAGTGCAAATATTTACTTAAAAAGAACAATTTCGCAACAGCCTCTTATTAAAAAAACAAAACCGAACAAATAAAACTAAAATAGCAAAGGCATTCATTTTGGAACGAAAAGTGCTGGCTACCAAAAAAAAATGTACAACACATTTGTAATATGAAGCTTTGAGCGTTGATCATTGAGCAAAGATTTTAACTATGGCCCCGAAGCTCTAAAACCATTCCTTCAGCTATTATTTGCTGTTTTATTTTTCACTTTTATTTTTGGGTCCATGCCCATGAAACATGAATATTCTTTTTTACCTATTTATGACAAGTGACTCACCCCCGCTTCGCTCGGGTTCGTCCCTAGCTTGCTTCCCCATACAAACTTTCATTCCCATTTTCACCCCCTTAAGGGATGATTTCTGGGAAAAAAACTATTTCACTAACTCACTCACTTTTCATATCATGAGTTTTAAAAAAATGTTATTTTAGTAAAAAAAATTTTTTTCTACATAGGTATGATGAGTTGTTGTGGGTTATATTATTACGTGTTTTCCCGTGGGAATGAGATAATCTCCCGCGGTAAAAAGTAGCCTATCTCACTCTCCAGCCCTCCAACTATCTCCACACAAAAAATTACCCCAATACATCACTCTGTTTCGACATGAAACAAGGACAAACAAACAAGCAAACAAAGTCAAACTGTATATTGTAGAAAGAGAATGTGTCATATTTACAAATGCATTCAATTAGTTTGTAATAATTTAAGGTAAGTAAAAGAAAAATGTGATTTTTACATTTTTTCATAGATTTTTTTTTCAATTTTTCTCTTCATAAGAACCTTCCTCAGATTTCAACAAATATTTGAAAAAAAAAATTAGCCAAATAATTGTTCCAGCCGTTCTTGCTTTGCGATTAGCAACATCAACATCATCATTTTTATTTATATATAGATGGTGAAGTCTAACCTTAACTTTAGTATCTTGAAGTTTATTTTTGACATTCTTCACATTACTTTTTAAGTTCTTCCCTTGTGTCCTCGTTCTCATCAGTGGCTCATTTGAATCTTCATTTATGAACACTGGTTCGGTTATACCTAATATACAGTCCCCTGCATCAGGCTGAAATATATGACAAAAACTTTAAAGTAACAAAAATATTAATAGCACGATATATTTTTGATGACACATTTGGCTGTTTGTAGTGACCCTACTTGCAGTGCTAGCATTCGCGGGTTTGAATACCGCTGGGGGCATTCATTTATGTGATGAGCACGAATGTTTGTACTCCGGTCATGGATATTTATGTATGTATTTAAAGTTATATATGTGTAGTGTATTTATTGACTATCTGGCATTCATAACACAAGCCTTGTAGCTTACCATGGAACTAGACGGTGCTGTGTGTTAATGTCCCAACATATTTATATTATTTAAATTTATATATATTTATAATTATTTACCTAAAAAATAGCCAAATAGATGAACTAAAATCAAAATTATTTTAACTTTATACGTTACCCATATGATATATTTGAAAATTAAATTTATAAGTATAAAATTTTTCAATGTTTGTTTATTTAGGTAATTTAATCAAAGTCAAATAATACAAATACGTATAAAATATGACAAGATTCAATTGCAAAATTGTAGTATTTTTTCTAATTATTTTTACCCTTACCGCTCCTCTCGGCATTGTCTGTGGTGGAAGACCTAATCGTAATCTCGTTCTTTTGTTTGTTTGTCTGCACATTTCCAGAAATTCATAGAAATCATTCACTTTATCTACACAGAGTTCACATATAAGTGGAGGCATTTTGTCATCTTGGTGGACCTGAAAATAATATTATGGTAATAACAATATCTTATATAATTAATCTAATCAAAACATTTGTTAATAATGGCTATTATTAAGCGATAATAAATAAAATTATATTTATTGAAATAAATAGGTTTGCCTCCAAAAATAATATAACCTAACTTTAAAGATTTTTACAATGCAAATACTGTTAAGGTAGTAATTTATTTTTCGATAAGCGGATATAACAAAAAATATATATGTATAATCATATATTAGTCGTTATTTTTTTCATATTTTATGATTTGAAATCAAATATAGTTAAATATGTGTACAATGTCATTTTCAATTAGCATCAAAACAATAATTGTTTAGTGTCACAAGCACATTAATGGTAATAAGGAAATAGGTTTACTGCATGTAATTATTGTATATAAATTAAATATTATTAAATAAAGCGGTTGTTTACTTCTATTTGCACACAGTCACGAATTTTCTGTTTTAGTTCCACTTCTGCTCCGTCTAAATCGACAACATTTTGTATTATTGGCATTTTGTAGCCAGCACCCGCACCACACAGACGACATGCTCGATATATTTCGTATATCGTTTGAGCTTCTATTTTGGAATTAATAAATCCATCCATTTTCTCATTTCTCCAGATAAACTACACAATATTACTGATATCAATAGCAAATTACCGCTTCGACGCCATTACTTTAGGCATTAATGTTGCCAGATGCCACTTGTTAGTTGTTACTTGTTACCTTAAAACTTAAATGTAGAAGGTGGGGAAGAGTTTTGCCTTTTTCTCCCGCCAGATGTCGCAATCACTATAGTCCTAAGTATATTGTAAAGCTCTTAAGGTTTTTTTTTCACCACAGAATGCACACCTCTCCTTTTCAATTCTTCCTTCATCTGGTCTAACCTCCAGGTACATTACATTGCACAGGTAAGATGCGAACACAATAAACGCAAAAAACCAGGTACAAAAAAGATATTATAATAAATTGCTTAACCTCAGACTGAATGAATATAGGCCACACGTGTGGCGTCTTCCTTTCCAGAAATCTTCCCCCTTCATGAAAAATAAAACATTCGAATGATTAATCGATATCAAATTCATATTACTCGATTGTAAATTATGTATAATAATATAATACAACATGAATATCTTCTTTTTGAAATCCGATCAGTCTTTTTAGTATTTTTACTTTTAGTATCGAAATTATAATATAAAAGCCTGGTTGTTACGTTATCTAAGTTCTTCCTATTTTATTTAGTAACATATTGTTCAGATTGATATTTAATGATACCTAATGATTTGTTTTAAAGTAGCGGCGCACGATGAAACTGATATACTCAATACTCATATCAGTAGAGGACACTTTAACAAACAAATAATATTACCATTATATTCGTTATAAAGTGCAAAGAAGCTTAGAAAAAAATGAGTAAGATATAATGTTAGCAATTAAATATAGGCTCTATTTCTTTAATAATGTGATTATTTGATAAAATAAGTTGTCCATGTTTGTTTAAAAAACTGCAAATAAAATATACGAATGATTACATTGTCTCTTGCACTATTCAATTGGGCAAGAGCTGAACGCAAACGAATACCTTGCAGTGGCTAGAAGACTTTGGTTTTATATATATCAAGTTTTTAGGTTAGTTCAAGTTAAGTAGCCCTCGGCGATATCGAGAAAATAAGATAATAATAAGATATGAATGGATAGTGTTGGAACCAAACTTCGCAATCCGTGAGAAGGAGCAATCACTTCAAATATAATATTTGCATTCAGTTTACTTCCCCCATTCTCATCGATAAATATTAGTCTAAAACTTGGATAAAATTACGTGGTCCTTCATAAGTCATTCAAAATAACTATTAGCTAGAAATTGTTGAAATGTATGAAAAGGAATCTAACAAGACAAATGCTAAATTAATAAGAATATTTAAGTGGCAAAATAATTTATGACGGTTGAAATGGTTTAGAAATCCAGCAAACTACGCTGATACTACTTGAATATAGTGTTATTTTTCATAGTCTTTTCCTTAACATAATGTAAGTCTTTTTAAAATGACTACGAGAACCATTTTTATTTTTCCACTAGCGAATGACCCTCGCTCTGCTCGGGTTCGTCCCTACTTACGTTTTAACGCTTAGTACAGATTTCTCAGAGATATTTTCCCGCAGTAAAAAGTATCCTATATGTTGACCCGGATAACCAGCTATCATCATACCGAATTTCATCAAAATCCCTTCGTTGGTTTTCCGTGATGCGGTCACAGACAGGTTTTCCAAAAAATATATAATGTAGATTCCGCTTAGTTACAATGTTATTATATGTATAGATTTTATTATTTAATAACTTAAAAATACCATTTTGTGTTATAATAGAATTGTAGGTCATTTATAATAAATATTAATAATTAAAAGTCGTATAAAAGATTTAAGCTATTTATTAAATCAGTCTGTAACAATTTAACTTAAGTAACAACAATTATATCATAATGCAAATGTGATAATTTTACATCGCAATGCTAACTACAGTGATATCTTAAGAATAACGTTGATCATAGACTAGTTTTAATATTTTATTCGCTTTATTTGCAATGTAGTTTAAAGGCTTGTGAGTAATGATTTTAATTATTTATATGTGCAAAATTAACGAGAGAGACCCTAAATAAACATGTTAAGCACATTTTTATATATAGGATTCAAAAATTAAAAAAAGTCTATGATCATTCACACAAACTTCGGAGTCAGAATTAAAAAAAGTGACAACAATTTATATAAATGTCCTAGATAAATATATTTTAAAAGAGATTGGTCTTTATTCAGTAGACCGTTACAATGAACGTAATACTAACTAAAAGTTTTAATGGCCATTTTTTAAGGTTATCCACAGACCTGCTGCTAGTTTCGACATGAAGTGTTGAAAATTACTATATCATTAATAACATACACCATAGTTAATCTTTAGCAAAAATTTACGTTAAATGCATAATATTTACTAACGAATGCAAACTTGTTGCAAAAACTAAAATGTCATGAAACATGAAAATCCATGATGTGCCAAAGCAGTGACATTAAGAAAAATATCCCAAAAGAAAGGCGCATCGATTATTATTGTTGATGATTTAAATCGATTATTGCAATTGATAACTTTCCTATTACTACTTTGAGAACTGTCATACGTCATTACAGTATTTTTAGTAAAAAATACATTTAATATTATAAAAATAAGTGTCTTTCTTTTCTTAAAGCTAAATAAAAATAAGATCTATACAATATATCATTTTAAATTATGCAATGTCTTTGTACTTACATAAAAAAATACCTATTCTACCCTTAATTTAGAATCATGAACGAATTAACCACTGGACCAGACATATAAGCGGACGTACCTTTATCGGTCTTCTCAGTAACCAGGAGATTTTAGGCTTGGTCGTTTGTTTTTTGCGTCAGTCTCAAGCACTTATTTGTCAATAAAACATCTCCCAAAAATGACTAAATGTTCTGTTAAATGATGTAAAAACTATAACAGCGGAAGCAGCACTATTTCTTTTCACTTGTAAATACATTATTTTATTACATTTATTGTTATTTATCACACAATTTAATTAAATGTATAATAAAATGTCATATTATCCAACTATGTTAAATATAGTCCATATTTCTATGTATTGTTGACATCTGACAACCATCATAAAATCCCTGGATTATACCATTCAGAACAAATGACTAAACTGTCGAGTGAGTCCATTTGACATCGACTAGTGCTTGACAATGTCGAAAAATATATCGATATTTGACGAAATTACTAAACGAATTGTGTTATTTGTACAGTACAATAACATAAAATACTTTTACCACAGTATCCTACAATCTGATGACAATAAATTTATAAAAATATTTTCTAAATCAAATAAAAATATAAATGCAAAAATTATAATTAGTATGTGTACTTAATTTTTTATTTTATTTTATTCCACATTTATATACTTTGGAATATTATTCCATTGTAATACTAATAAAGATCATTTTATTTCAACACATAAATTACACAAAAGCAAACAATAATGTTTTAGCACTAAACTTCTGGTTTGGCGATTTGTAATAAAACACTTTACCACTTGCACTAATTATTTTACTTTCACGATCCAACACTCACTTTAATTTGCAATCTCTTTTTCTTTTTCCTAATTTCACAAATGTTTATTAAGAACTTAGCAATATTAGGACAGTGTCACATTTTTATAACTCCCCGAGACAATCAATTGCCAATTAAAATAGTTCAATAACAGAATCAACAAAAACACTTTATTTAATTAAATTAGCTTAATATTTTTTTTAATCTTTACAAAATAATATTTATTATATATTAATGGAATATATACCCGATATTCATTTGTTCATTAACATTATTATAGGCCAACAGAATGTTGCCATCAATGCCATCGTATTTATATAAATCAAATTAAAAAATAATTATTATTTGACACATTATATATTATTGCCTCTTTAATTCATTTATTTTAATTTATTAAAATTAAAAGAAGAAGAATAAATTAAAAGATGTAAAATATGATGACTATGCTTTACCAATGTCTAAAATGTCATTCATTGGTTCATCGATATATGTATTTTATCGATTACGCTCAAGCACTAGAAATATTGTATTGTGTATCAGTGTTTATAATAATGTAATAAAATCTTTGTGTGCGTTATGCGTCACTTGGTTGAACTAGTTTTCATACATTTGTATTTTATGTCAGGTCCAGTCTCTAATTCGTCCATGTTTAGAATATTTCAAGATGATTTTGAAGTCGATGTAACTTTTTTTCAATATATTTATTGAATTTAAAATGTTTTTTATACCTAAGTAAAATTAAAATTTTGTCACCATACTACTAAAATAATTCAACAATATACTTAAAAAATAAGTGAACTTATCAAGTTATTCACCTAACAAATCGAAATAAATATATTATACTATTATAACTTTTAAATTCACTGGCGGGAACGCTTGGCGTCCATTTTGGAGATATGTGTTGCTATATGAAACATTCTACCAACTTAGTGGTTTTTTTTATTTTTACAAATGGTATGTTTACGAATTTTAATTTTGTTGTTTTCAGAAAATTATATTATGCTTGTTTTAAATTAGATTTTTTTATTCATAAATAAATTACTAAAAGTAAGTATTTTTTAAGTTTTAGAATGTCCAAAATATTTTATTATTATACATTTGTATAAAACTGAATTATCTTTAAAAGCAATGATAATTCTATAATTTATTTTTTATATTTTTTTAATCGATCTTAAGTATGTATATGTCTCATATAACTTTGTCAACACATGAAATTATAACATAGAGAATTGTTATAATCTATTAGAAGATTGCGACTTTCGCAACGGCTGTAATATGGAATCCAAGACCACTGTCGCTGTGTTGACTTTGCTGCATCTAAAAAGAAAAGAACGAAGAAAGTGTATGTTTATAATATAGAAAAGAGATTCTCGTTTTAATATATAACCTTGCAGTAGCCATTGACAACAAAATGCTAAATGCTAAAATGTTTAATAGAACCAATTTAAAAAAATGCTTGAAAAAGTAAAAAATATTTTTAAATGATACCTTGGGAACATATCTGTACACTTAAGTTCAGTCCATCCGGTCAGTGCTTCATACAACATGGTGTCGATGGCGCGGTCAGCTTGAAGTTCCCCTGTCAGCATTCTTAAAGCTAATCTATTGAAGAAAAATATAAAAAATAAATTCAATGTCAGAAAATATCGGACGAAAGTCGTATAAACGTCATATTGAATGTTCAAAGTCGATCCATTAATAATGAATAATTAATTTCCATCCGAATAAGAAAATTCAATTATTTGTATCTTAACCTTTATGTATATTTTTACTTATATATGTACATTAAATAGAATATTTTTTAAACATATTCCAAAAAAATAACTGTGTGATAAAATTGTTGTGTGTGCCGCCAGCCAAAGGAGACGGATAAATCTTCTATAATCGGACGGATAATCATATATTGTAAATGCGAAATAAGTTTGTTTTTCACTTCTTGACATTGGTACAGCTCAACTCATTTAATTGAAAATCGAAATGGAACTATTTTTGTAGACTTATCTACCACAAGAGCGCAGTACAGTCAAGTAAACTATATAAAATTAAATGTCTTACCCATTAATTCGAGCCATAGTTCCATATGGAGGATTTAATTTTCCTGTTACTACTAAATTCTTGCAATACAACAACCAAATGCAATCTAAGTCGGTATACGCCGTAGCGTTGGCAACACTGGAGCTGTCATTCTTACTAAATGACGTTTGTAAATGATTTAGCGCGTGTGTGTTGGCATCAATGTTACGCGATAATTGACTTTGTATGTTGGCAGCAAGTGCTTCTTTATTGGACAGTTGGTTTAAAACTATTCTGTAAGGATGTTTTTTATATAATTAAATGGTTAGCCATATTTAATTAGTAAAGAATTAAAAGAAAATACAATTCGGTAATTTTTGGTAAAGGGTTATATTATATCGTCTATTCAAGCAAAACAAAAAAGCACGAAGAATAGGCAAAATTATGACGGTCTAATTTCTTCTTATGGAATGGGGTATAATGATAACAATTATTGAAAACTATTTTGGTTAACCCCCGTATTATTACTATTACTTTGTAAATAAAACTATTTTATCGGTAATTTGTTCTGAATTTTGGATTGTTGGTGAGAAACCAAAAATCAAAATCAATTCGAAAATATTTAAAATGTCCAATATTCGCGTAAATCTAAGAAAGTATTATACTTACTTGGTATTTTTGAAAGCTCTACCCAAATGTATGGCAGCTCGTGCAGTACTCATGCCTATTTCCATTACATTTTCTAGAAGGTTCTTGCCAACATCCAACTCTTCTTCTTGACGATTTTGCCTTTTCCTATAACAGTTGAATGGTTTTTTTTTCACATGTTCTTTAAAAATATAATAAGATCATTAAGTTTATTATACCTTAGTAAATGTTTAGATATTGCAAAATAAATTTAATCCTCTGGTGGTAGACGATAAGGTCATAGTGATGTATTTTTTATTCATTTTAGACATCACAATATATTTTCAAATCATAATTTTATATTTTATTTAAACGGACTTTTTGAAGCACTTTTTTCACCTTTATTGGATATGGAACCTTTATCGATTTAGAAATCGATATGTCTTTTAGAAAAGTAATTATAATTTAGATCATACCCGTAAATAGAATTGTCATATTGATGATGTAACTCATTCCGTTTCGCTTCTATTTTGCCTGGCTCCATGAAGAGTGCGTTAAAAGCAAACACGTCTGGATCTTTCAGCATCTTATTACGTGATAATTCCTGTAACATTATAATAATTTATATTAACTAAATATTATAATATAGACAGTGGTAGCCCAGTGGTAACGCGCTCGCTTGGAAAACTGAGTGAAGCGGGTTCAGATCCCAGGTCTTGCGCCAATGACATATCCTTGTGCGAATCATTTCCAACATGATTACCACCTATCTTACGATGAATGAAAACATCGTCAAACGTCTAAGAGAGCCTAGCAAGTTTGCGAAAGACATGCTAAGTCCGCTCGTACTTGGCCAGCGAGGTGGGCTATGGCCTGATCGCCTTCGCATTGAAGGAAGCTTAACAGTGGGACATTCAAAAGGGCTGAATACAATACTACATACATATTATAAAAGAATCGGATTACTGTATGTTTGTCACTTCTTCACATTGTAATGGCTGGACGGATGTGGATGAAAGTTAGTACACATATAGACTAGGACTTGGAGTAACACATAGGGTGTTAGGTTCCTAAGTCAGTAATATTTGTATAAATAAGACCCTCACCTGACTTTCCCATGCCATTAACTGGATATTATGTAGCAACATCACATCTAACGTGAGAATACCAAATGACAGCAAATCGGTACTGTTACTCGAAATAACTTTCCTACTCTGATTGGAGTGAGTGAAATTTTCTCCAAAATATAAGTCTCTGAGTTTATTCATTACAATAGTCACATTTCCTTCAATTATACTTTCGTTTAAGGCTTTCAAAAGTTGTCCAAACTCGTTGCCAGTATTATGTTTTTCAGATTTTCCCTCAAAATCAGGGTCTGATGATATCCAATCGTGTAACTCCTGAACTTTTTCTATTAAATAACTGGTCATTGTGTTACTTTGCATATAATCATCATACAAATTGTCATCGTTATAGTATTCTTCATAATTATCTTCAGTTTGTTTCAGTCCAGCAATATATCCATCTGAGAGCTTTATGGAACCATCCAAAAAGACATCGGGTAACGTTGGCTTAAAGTCTGGTACTTTTGGGATGAAATCTTCGGGAAGTTTTGCTTGATCTTTCTTTTCGATTTTCCGTTCGGGATGGTGCAAAGATGTGTCGTGGAGAGGATGAATTTGTGGTTTAGATATCAGGTTTTTATCGTCTTTCTTTTTATCTCGATTCGCGACTATATTTTTGAATATGGACAGCTTTTCTAAGATAGGGAATTGTATGTCGTTATCCATTTCTTCAGGTGTTACTTCTAATTTTGCAGTCGTTGCTGTTGGTCGCGGTGGATATGGATTTGGGTACATTGGTTCCTGAAAAAATATGCATATTATGTGTGTTATGATTTATGATATTTTAATATCATTAAACGTGAAGGTAAATACTGTATGTGTTATATATAGTCGTCATTGTAATTTTAATACCTAATATATAGATTAAAAAATATTTATTCCACTCAGTTTTTTTTAATTTTATAAAACGGTATTTATGCTACTAGTCAGTAGCTTATTGCTGATGTTAATAAATAAATTCAAATACAACTAATTATAAAAGAAATGATGCCTCTCGACAAAATACCAATCGAAAACCATTCTTTTCGTGAACATTTAGCATTTTAAATAAATAAACGTCGGGAATGAAAAATCAAAATAAATGCACGAAAAAAACTAAAAAGATAATTTTTAACTGAAAATATCTTTTTACCCTGGCCTCTGCGTACATTTCCCTGGAGATGTAACTTTCACTGGAACCCCATCTGGTGATGACAATGGTTGCAAGGACCAACGCCCCACACACTGCGAAGCATGACGCACTGGCTATGATCCAGACTTTTAGTGGTACCTGGAAATATATTGATAGACTAATATACAGTTTGTTTGTATGTGTGTGTGTTTGTTAATCCTTCACGTTGAAATGACTAGATAGTTTTAAATGAAATTAAGTATACTGGTATGATAGAGCTGGAGTAACACATATGCTGTTTGGCATATAGGGACGCAACCAAACGAAGCAAGGGTAACTTAATACTTTCTTAGATTTACGCGACAGTTATTTGACATTTTAAATAAAACTATCTTTTCGGATTTTGTCGCGGATTTAAATAAAAATGCAAAAAAATAAAAAAATGCAAGGGTAACTTGTTAGTATGCGGTTTATTCTCATTTTCTTGGATAAAAAGTTTGTATTCCTATGGGTTATTCCAGACTATAATCTATCTCTGTGCCAAATTTCATCTAGATCCGTTCTTTCAGTCGTTCTGGCGGGAAAAAGTAACAAACATCCATACTCACAAACTTTCACATTTATAATATTAGTATAGAAGTATAGATTAACTATGGTATGGTATGTTCAGGCTATTTTCCGCAACTTGACGACTATGCGCCTATTTTGCGTGAATATAGATTAACTAGTTTTGAAAAATTAAACAACCGTAAATTAAAATTTATAAAAAGCATTAAATCCTTATTAGTACTATACGGATTTAGGTTTTATTACCACGGTAATGCGTAATCTATCAATTTTAATTTTGTAATAAAAACTTTTTAATTAACACAGTAAATAAATGAATAACGATATCTTTCAAAATAATTATTAAATTAAATTTAGGGCACAACACTAGCAGGTACTATTATTTTTCATAACAGCTATCCAACATTAAGTAATATGTATTGCAAGACGGAAGTTGACTGGCGGTTTGTGGCACGCATAAAACTTACGTGATTTGTACAAACAAGTTATTTTTTTATTATCTACTAGTTTTTCCCACGGCTTCGTTGGCATGTTTAGGGGCCATTTATTAATTACGTAGGGACAATTTTGGCCAGTTTGCCCCTAACCCCATGTAAGAGCATATAAAATATCTCGGACTCCCCCTCCTCCTTCTTACGTAAGATTTTAATTAGTTTTTGAAATGGATCAATTGCATCAAAACTCATAATTTAATCCTATGCACGCTAATAGGTAATAATAGCGTGTAGAGGATCAAAAGTATCCTATATTTCCAGGATACTATCTATGTCCTTGCCACATTTTATCGCAATCTGCTCAGTGGTTTATGCGTGAAAAGGTAACAGACAGAGTTACTCTCACTTTTTTAATATTGTAATTTCGTTCGCGTATTTTACTCTTCGATTATAAGATGTGCCCAGTCTTATATGGCAAAGATAAGATATTCAAACACGTATCTCTTTAAATGAAGTAGATCTCTTCCACCGATTGTAAAACCAAAAATACTGACGCTTGTTATTATGATTAGCAAATACTTTTCTTAACTACTACAAAAGTATACCTACCAATTTTAACATCACTTTAAATGTAATTAGTTCATCCCTACAGGTGTATTGTCTATAAAAATATATTTATAAGACCACCCCTTTAGTATAAATATAACCTAATTATTAAAAAAAAAAATATCATTAAAAATTCATCTCCGCTGATAATTTAAAAAAAATTGTATCGAAATCAATACAAACTAGCTAAAAACGTATGTATGTCGTCTACACGTCCACTGTGCATCTAGCGGGAATCAAACGCACGTGGACTGCGATAGGTTGCCTGTTACAGCCCACGTGCTGCTTTTATTTATTTCTATTTATTTTTTAGGAAAAGTCTTTAATAATTCCAAAACTAATCCATCCGTAATTATAATTTTTCAATAACATTTTTTTAGTCGGTCTAAATAAGCGTCGACTTACACTGGTCTTAGCTGGCAAAACATCTTCAGGTCGAGGCGGCAACGGTCTGGAATGCCAGTCTCTAGATACAGTCGCTCTGCTATCCCGCGATGGCGGACGTTTTTCATATTCGTATTGGAACATTATAACTGTAAATAATTAATTTTATAACTAAAAATGTTCATTGACTTCAAATTAAATTAATATTAAATAAATATACCTTCTGGGACATTAACACACAGCACCATCTAGTTCCATGGTGAGCTACAAGGCCTGTGTTATGGATACCAGATAATTGAAACACTACATATATATATATGTAACTTTAAATAAATTTATATTATAAATATAAATACCCATGACTGGAGTACAAGCTTTCGTGATCATCACACAAAGAAATGCCCCAAGCGGGACTCACCCTCGCTCCCTACTTACGTTTTAACGTTTGGTATAGATTTCTCAGAGATGAGATATTTTTCCGCAGTAAAAAGTATTTTATATGTTGACCCGGATAATCAGCTATCGTCATACCAAATTTCATCAAAATCTGTCCAGTGGTTCTCTCGTGATGCGGTCACAGACAGACAGACAAAAATTCTAAAAACTGTAGATTCAGCCTCTCTATCGATAATAATGTCTATTTCAATAAGATATTCCAAAAAATAATCAATGTACAGATTCGGCTTAGTTATAATTTTATTATATGTATAGATGAGACGGTTCTCCTAACCTCTACCCTCCAAAACGTAGGGTTGTTTCCCAATACAAACTTTCATTCCCATTTTCACCCCCTTAAGGGATTATTTCCGGGATAAAAAGTATCCTATGTCCTTCCCGGAGTCTCAAACTATCTTCTTACGAAATTTCATCTAAATCGGTTTAGTAGATCCAGAGATTACCCCCTACAACGTCACAAACCACAAACTTTACCTCTATATAATATTAGATGAAACAATTAGTATCTGAGTGAAGTAAAACGGGTCACTAGTGGTTAAAAATTAACATGTGCGAAAAAGAAGTGTGTACAAACTCGAACATATGTTAGTAGGCTAGGAAATGAATGCTATCTGCATTTCCCACTGAGTCACTGATGCGTCTAAGATATTACATTCTGCTCATGTCTCAGCGCCATGCTCTACTTGTAACTATCATCCGCGTAGATTCCATATCGAATGTATGGAAACTGGCTTTCTTCCACTTTGCGCAATTATGTGGGTTATGAACTTTAGATCAAGTTCCAAAAGAATTTTCTTTTTTATATTTTCAAAAACTTAGGTCAATATTTTCTGGTTTATTTACAACACCAGCGACTAACCGTTGATTCGCTCGGGAGCCCACTAGTTGTCTAAGAGCAGCATTTAAGTTTCCATAGTAAGCTACGAGGCTTATGTTATGGATACCAGATTTTTGATACACTACACGTATATAACATTAAATACATACATATCATAAATATAAACACCCATGACTGCAGTACAAACATTCGTGCTCATCACACAAATGAATAGCCACAAATATATAGCCCCCAGCAGGATTCTAACCCGCGACCGCTGGCACAGCAAGTAGGGTCACTAAAACTGAGCCAACCGTGTCGTCAAGTTACTCCAGCAATACTCTGCCTGTGTACTAAATTTCATCCAAATCTGTTCAGCCGTTTCAGCGTGAAGGACTAACAAACATACACACAACATTCATATAAATTACAAACTTTCGTATCTATAATCGTGGTCCAACAATATGCGTATGTACTTTTTTACTAAAAAGGTCCAAAGACTTAATATACCATTCAAATCAATTATTTTATTTTATTATAAAAATATTATAATATTCTATAGTTATATATGTACATTGCCCGCGGCTTCGCCCGCGTTCAGATGAACAAAAACCAAATTCTTAATTTTACATGTTAGTATACTCTTACATGCAGTTTTTGTATTTTTCTCAGAAATGAGACATTTTCCCGCGCTCAAAAATATCCTATATGTTGACCCGGATAACCAGCTATCACCAAACCAAATTTCATCAAAATCCCTCCAGTGGTTTTTCTGTGATGCGGTAACAGAGAGACAGACAGACAGACAAAAATTCTAAAAACTATAGATTCGGCCTCTGTATCGATAATAATGTTTATTTCAGTAAGATTTTTAAAAAAACATTAATGTACAGATTCAACTCAGTTACAATTTTATTATATGTATAGAAAATTTGTGTCACATCGATATTGTGAAAGCCGTGATATTATAATTTCTCTAGTGATATTATAATTGCATGCATTTGTCAATTAGGGAAATTATAATGTAACTGATATCCCGTGATACTGTAAGAAATGGAGACGATTGACATGTCACATACACATTCTCACGGAAAAATACTAGATAGGCTATATATTATATAACTAAAAATACAAACTATCTATTGTGTACTAACGGTTAACACGTTCGCTGCATTACGAGATCTATCAGATCTCTTGCAGGACTTTTGTACTGTGCGTTGACTATAATCGTGTTGTTTCACTCCTTGCGGGAGGCTCTAACGTGTAAAGTTCTTTAAGTATGAGTAAGACAAATATATATATTTGCTTCCTACTTAAAGGTGAATTCGAGGACATAAAAAAAATAAATAGAGATGGATTAGGTCCCTAACGCACAGTAGTATAATTATTTTTATTCCTTGCGTTAGGAGACATGTCGATACTCGTGGAATCGTACGCCTCGTAGACGCAAGAAAGGGAGGTTAGGGGGCGCGGGCGCTGTGTGAATCGATTTAGTGTTGTCCTAGTGTCGACGTGGGAGGTTGCGCGCACGTTTCGAAAAAGTGTAAAAAAAATTTTATTTAATATATTTTATTTAATTATTTAATAAAATTGTTTTATTTTAGTAAGATTTCTAAGAATGAAAAATCAACGCTGGATTATAGTGCTGCATCGTCCAGTATAATTACAATTTTGGAAAATATAATGCTTTTTATTACAGAATTCCCCGAAGGAAGATGTACAGATCATGTTTTCCAACGTGGCGACAAAAAAAGACGTTGTGTGGGTTGTCATGAAAAATTACGACGCACATTAAACAGCACTGACGCTTCTAAAAAAAGCTGAAAAAATACCATTTGCGCGCAATGCAAATAATCAATGTGCTTACTATGTTTTAATGAAAAACACTTTGCATAGTTTATAAATAAACTTCTTTAATAAAACTTTTTCAATCGACAACTGAGATATTATTTTATTCCCATCACTACTTACTACACATATTGAACTATCTTCGGTTGCGGTACGAGATACAATCGATATCTAATTTTTTTTTTGGTATTTGTAGCTTATTCTAATGTCATAACTGCGTGCGAACCTAGCAAAATGTAGAGCAATAGGCTCTCTTGACCCACAAAAACTTTAAAATATATGTCATTAGTTTTTTGGAAGATATAAATTATTTTCAAAACTGTATTTTTAGGAGACTGATTAGGTCTCTAACGCACCAAAGGGTAGGCTAGTTTCGAGATCTTTTAGGTCTCCAAAGCACCAGCTGAAAGTTCTTTCAAAATGATGACGCAGTGAACGTGTTAAAACGTACCTAGGGACGAACCCGAGCGAACCGAGGGTAAGCCGCTAGTATATTATATAGATAAGATTTGTATTTTTGTGTTTGTACCGAATGAATTCCAAAACTAAAGGACCGATTTAAATAAAATTTGGTAAGAAAATAGTTTGAGAGCCTGGGAAGGTCATGGGATAGTTTTTAACCCGGATATCATCCCTAAGGGTGTGAAAATAGGGATAAAAGGTTATATGGGGAATCAATCTAGTGGAGTATATAATCGTATTCAAGTTCACAATTAGCAAAAATATTTGCGTACACACAAAAAAATGTCCTACACAGTTCATTCAAAACCTCTTCCATTTAAAGTCGGTCAATGTTGAGGAATTTAAAAAAAATACAAACGTCTTCTGTACTATTCTAATCATTTCCCGAAAAGTGATGTCAACAGTCGACCCTTGACCCTCGATATTTTAATTTATCGATTTCGGGATACTCTCCGAAAATAGAAATTGTCTTATCAAAACCCTTAACCTTGATAATACTTTGTTATCTTTCACTGCTACCCAGTGCTGGATTTACACCAGGGTCTAGGGGCACTTGGGGCTAATGATCAGGGTGGCAAATTTTGTGGGTTTGGTGGGAAAAAAATCTCTTCGCGTTATCGAGAATGCTTTTTTTATTTTCCAAAAAATAAATAATTAAAAAGAAAACTAGTACATTATTCAAAAAATTGAAATCATTTAAAATTTATTTTTGGATTTTTTAATTTTTTTTTATTAAAATTAAAAATATAACTTAAAAATATACTTTATCGATAGTTTACCTATTTTTTGCAACATTTCGATAACTGGGCGGCATTTTTTACTATGCCCAGGGGCGGCGGTAAGGTTGAATCCGGTCCTGCTGCTACCCTTCACTTAAGGGTGAGAGGTGAGTATTCATAATCGTATTTTTAAGCCAAACTCGTCTTTGTAAAGTGAAATTTACATCCCCGAAAACTTTCAATCCATTGATATGCAAAAACTCAAGATACACAATTAGCGTCTCAAAAGTGTCCTCAAAAACATGTGCACAATCGTAATTGTGCGCTTTTTTCAAATCTCTTTTGTTCATTGCTTTTCGAATGACAAAATTAAAACGCTTGTTGTTTTGTTTAAAAAAGTACTTTATGTGGTGTGCGTAAGTTCGAATTTGCGTTTAGACAATTAGAACTTTCGATTATTGAATGTTATTTATTGGTTTGAATTAACGTCACATGTCAACGGCACTTTTTGATGAGATATTTGTTAGGAAATGTGTATACATATATCAATGTTTCAATTATTTTGATTTCTCAGTTGCATTTATAGATGGCGTTTCCATATTACATATTCGTCACAAGTATGCCAGTATATAACATTTCAAAGTCACCAATAATGACTGCTCTGTCTTTACTAAGCAAAGTACGGTTTTCTCATTTAAAGAAGCATTTGACAAGAATATGAAACATTTCTTTTGCTAAAAATAGAACTTTGTCCTATAGTAAATTGTAAGTTCGGTGTATGAATCTCGCCCATAACATTATTTGTACTTTGTTTTTTTTTTTAAGTAAAACTTCTTTAGGCG